GTATGTATATGTATGTATGTATATATATATATATATAAATTATATGTATATGCTATATATATGTAATATATTATATATATATATATATATATATATATATTAACATATATATATGTACATATATATAATTGTATACATTTCTATTTATATATATATACAGTATTTATATATAGTACATATTTATGTATGTTATATATATATGTTAACATACATACATATATATGTATATATTTCTATTTATATCTATATATTTATATATAGTACATATTTATGTATATAAGATATATACATATTTATATACAGTATAAATATATACATCATATATATATATACATATATATATATATATATAAATATATATATATATATAAATATATATATATATATACAGTACATATTTATGTATATACTATATATAGTATTTTTAGTATTTTATGCTCAGTTCAGTTTCTTTATTCACAATAATTAAAATGAACTGTACAAAAAAAAAATTCAGAAACAAAAAATAAAAAAATATGAGAAATATTAATTATCCCACTCCCCACTTTTTCTGTATATCAGCACTGAATATTACTGAGTATGCTTTAAAATAAATTAAATAATAGGTATAATTACACCAGTATATTTTCAATTTTTGAACAAATAGCAATATGAAAAAAAAAATGTATATATTTTCAGACAGGTGATGTGATTGACATGCCAGTTCCGTCAAGTTTTAATGACATCACCCAAGATAGAATGCTGCGGGACTTTGTTGGATGGGTTTGGTATGAGAAGAACTTTTTTCCACCAAGGTCTTGGAAGACAGCAAAACAAAGAATATTTTTAAAATTTGAGAGTGCTCATTATAATTCTATTGTTGTAAGTTATACCGTATTCACCAGACAGTTTTTGCATTCTATATATAGAAAATGTGCACTATTACATCTAGAAATTTGAATATTTAATGATTTCATGTGCTAGGCTGGCAATCCTTATCCTATATAAATAAAATACAGGGGCAGATCCAGAATTTTTCAAACGGGGGAGGGGGTGGGGCAGGGATATGAGGGGACAACATTTTCAGAATAGATGAGTAGCGCTAATTTCAATACATAACATTGATATGCATTGACATTTTAAAATTTAGTGGCATAACTGGGGTGGGGGGCACATTCCCCCTACTGGATCCGTACCTGAAATAGGAAAATCAAGTTCATGAATGCTTTATGATTACTGTATTTTAAATTCAAGTTTAAAATCCAAGGTTTTTGTTTTTATTCCTAATGCAGTGGTTAAATGGAATTCAAGTTGCAGCGCACGAGGGTGGACATCTGCCTTTCCAAGCTGAGGTTACGCAGCTTTTGAATTTTGGATCCTCCAATCGACTAACTGCCGCGATCAACAACACTCTGACCCCTCACACATTACCCCCTGGTAGCATCACTTATCCAGAACCTGAAGATCAGTGAGTATAAATAAAATGCATGGATTGGTTAAGTTAGTCTAAAAAAGAAAAAAAAAAAATCCTAAAAATCATTTTTGAAATTAACTTGCTCATTTTGTAGTAACATAAATTATTAACTTGAGCATAGAAATTATTTAATTAAAAAATATATACCCTGATTTATATACTGGATAATAAAAATAAAATACTTTCAGTGACTAGAAGTTTTTCGATCATTTTTTGCTGTAAAATTATGGGTAAAATTATTTTTTAATGATTTTTTTTGTCATTTTCAGGGACAATACATCTTTAATTTAATTATATGCTTTATATTTATATTTACAATATTTATAAAAAATTACTTTTAGACTTGCTTTGGTTATTATTATATTTATGTAGTAATGTTTATTGTGTAATTAGTATACACTGTTGGATGGCTGAATAAAATGCATAATACTAGATCTTAGAAATATTTAATGAAATTATGTTCATATCAATAATTATAACTTCAGATACCCCAAAGGTTACTTTGTGCAGAACCTTCAAATGGATTTCTTCAATTATGCAGGGATTCACCGTCCAGTCAAGCTGTACACTACACCAATGCTATACATCAGTGACATCACAGTTGTCACTAAGATATCAGGGACAACTGGTAATTTATTCCAAAATATCTTAATATTCCTCTTATGGTACTTCTCTTACAATTCTTCACCCTAATATTAAAGTAATCTACCCTTCTCCCTCCTCCTATACTACTGCCCCACTCACTTCAACTAATCCACCATTTTCTCTCCTCTTTAAGTCCTACCAATGCAGTTCCCTCTATTATTTAATACACTGATCTCTGAGATTTGTATTACACTTATATCCATTATAAATCAAAGTGCAAGTCACTTGTAAAAGAAGGTAAAAAACACATTAGAGAGTAAGAGTACTGTATAGAAAATAAATTACCTAACACAATGTATTTCCAAAGAGTTAGCCTACTATATACTGGTTATTTATTCTATAGGTATAGTTATTTATAACATAAGTGTTGAAGGCGCCAGTTCACCTGTGACTTACACGATCAGGTTGCTTGATGCAGATGGGATTGAAGTGGCCTTTGGTCAGAAGGAAAGTGGTCAGCTGAATATCACCAACGCCCATTTGTGGTGGCCATATACAATGAGTTACCATTCAGCGTACCTGTATACCCTCATGGTATGTTAAGCTGATTTTAATTACTGACATTTATATCTTGGTATTTGATGATTTATTTATTAGAGGGTCATTCAAAAGCACCTTGATATTCAGTAAGCCCTTAAAACTTTTAACTATTTGAAGGTGCAAGTGCAAGATGATTCTAATGAGGATATATATGATCTGGCAGTTGGTATTCGTACAGTAGAAGTAACAAAGACAGAGTTTCTGATTAATGGTAAACCTTTCTACTTCCTTGGTGTTGGAAAACATGAGGATGCAGATGTAAGTCCTTACTATATTAAAGCTTTGCATTATCAATATTTATCCCATTATAAGCATGGTGTATATCATTGGCATCATCATTATTTTACTCCTGTTTTGCTGGTGTGCATGAAATCAGCATCTTCATCAACATCAGCATCAGCATAATGCCTTCTTGCAATTCTTGGTTGTAGATTCGTGGCAAAGGCTTGGATTATCCCACAATAATCAAGGACATGAACCTAATGAAGTGGTTAGGTATCAATTCATTCCGCACAAGTCATTATCCATATGCAGAGGAGATCATGGACCTCTGTGATCGTCATGGCATTGTCGTCATTGATGAAAGTCCTGGAGTCGGAATCAAGCAGTAAGTTAGGTCATATTCCAGCTGTTTAGTTACTTTATCCTCTTTTTGGCAGTCTATCCTAAATCCATACAAAGGAAGCATGGTGAACATTACCACATTTGATTGTAAAAGACAGTTCCACCTAATTGTGATAGAAAATGGTGAAGATGTTGATATCAATCTTTTCCTATTAAGAATTGAGAACTTGAGCAATACTTCACTGCAACACCATCTGGCTGTCATGAAGGAACTTGTAACCAGAGATAAGAATCACCCATCTGTGGTCATGTGGTCTGTAGCAAATGAACCAGACTCGAAAAGAGTAGAAGCAGGACCTTATTTCAAGTGAGTGTGATTCTGATTAGTCATATATCGTCTAAGTATGCTTTGATTGAGGATAGATTCTTGCTAGTTTTGATCTTGATCTGAACTGTTCAGTACTAAGAATTTAAGAATACACAGTACATAAAAAATAAATAATAAAAAAATAATTAATAATAATTATCTTAATAAAAGTAAGTATTACTCTTTTAATTGTAATGCTTTGTAAATTTGTACTTATAATTTGTATATATTATATTTTTATAAATATGAATAATTAGTTAAAATCTTGTATTTTTCTGATTTTTAAATAATAATAATTGTAACTTTATTACTGTATTAACTGTAAATCTTATTGTCGTTCGCATTTGTATTTTTCTAATTGGATTTTTATATCGGTTCAATTTTAATTATTTAGTGTATTCCCTATATTGTAAATTACTATAATTATTGTAAAATTTTACTCTACTTCTGATGATGTCCTTGTGAAGCGCTCTGATCAATTTGGAAAGGCGCTATATAAATCTATTATTATTATTTATTATTATTATCATACAATGGTAAATAGTTTACGGTACTTGATATTACAATACTAAATTGTGGTGTTCCTTTTTTTTCTGTAGGCGGGTTATTGACTACACACGAACACTGGATGAAACGCGGCCTGTCACCTTTGTGATAGGAGGAGGAAGTCAACCAGATGTTGATCAAGTGGTAAACATTGTTTTCATCTAAAACCCTTTTATAGTTTTGTTGACATCAAAGTGCCCAATCCTTTAATAAATATACATTTTTTCATTCACTTTTACAGATAAGCAGCAATATGGAAGTTGATTTTTTTTTCCTTTACTATTTTACAGGTGAAGTATGTTGATGTCATTTGTGTCAACACGTACTACTCATGGTATAGTGACCCAGGTCACTTGGAGGTCATTCAGTACAAAGCAAACAACAGTCTCAGAGGATGGTTCAATAAGTTTCAACGACCTGTCATTCAAACAGAATACGGTTCCGACACCATACCCGGGATACACATGGTAAACAATGCTTCTGTTATTCCCACACCACCACATCATTTCATAGTCGCACATTATAAGAGTCAACAGCGGTGTGTGTAGCAGTATTGACATGGTTATGTGGGGATAGGGACTTGATGACTAAGTAAGGGGCATGCTCACCCCTGTCTATGTCTCTGAGAGTCAATGGATGCATCAACTACTTTATCACTGTATGAAAAGTATAAGAATGCAATTTGTCAAGCACCATAATTTTGCAATCAAAAGAGGCAAAAGTTGCAGTGTAAGATATGGATTTTTGTTATCTATCAACCACATTGTAAAGTAAGCCATGAGTGGGAAAATATCCTCTGCACATTTGGGAAAATAAGGGACGATGTCTGCGAAGTGTGCCGAAAATTAGGCTTTGACCTAATCTTAATATATAAACAATGTATTATGCAGTACAGTAATTATTTTCCTAGTAATTTTCCACACAAATTTGAGCTGGTTTTTGAGTATCATCCACTCAATTAAAAAACTTTATACAATATGGTCTACCAATCCCTGATGGACAGTGTGAATCTTCATTTCAGGATCCCCCAATGATGTTTAGTGAGGAATACCAGATAGATCTTTTAACAGAGTATTTCAAAGTGTTTGATGAGGTCAGGGGTAAATTCTTTGTTGGAGAAATGATCTGGAATTTTGCTGATTTTATGACGGCTCAGAGTAAGTATCTTTTGCATGTTGATAACAAATTTTTCTATTTCTAATCTTCATGTAACTGAACATTCTTGAATACTTTAACAATTCTAAGTTCAAGGATTTTTTTTTTCAGGTACAACTCGAGTTGGAGGAAACAAGAAAGGAATCTTAACGAGGCAGAGACAACCAAAGTCTGTTGCTAGGATCATCAAGAAACGATACCACCAAATTGGTAACACAACCATGTCACAAGACAAATCACAAAAACATCAGTATATCTCTAGAAGACACTTTCCAGAGTATTTCCTAAAGACAGTCTCTGTTGGTGACCATCAAATAGAAATAAAAACAATTTTATAGAACATTTTAGGATGCCAAGATGTGTGCAAGTTTAAAGGTTTTTGGCATTTGGTAAATACAGTACTACCATTTTGTTTTTTGCCATCAAATCTCTTCATGTTTTGTGTGTTGGGCTGGGCAGTGGCAGTCCAACTGCAGTATAATACAGTATCGCCTTTTTTAGAAGAGAAAAATGACTATTGAGATAATTACTGTATTACTAAACAAAAAATATTATTGAACTGTATCCATATAAATGTCTTAAGTGCTTAAAAATAGTTTCCAATACCCAATAGTAAAAAGAGAATTAGCGCTTGCTACAAGCCCCAGCACCCCTTGTATAGTTACTGAATCGGTGCCAGTTTGGGTCCCTGTCCACCATTGGTATTGGGTGCAAAAATATACTTGGGATTTAGTTGTATCTGTATTTTTGTAATTATGAATGAATTCCAAAATAAAATCTCAAGTTTGTACACTTGTACCTAGTATGCCTCCATTAATTGTATGCATATTCCTGCTTGTTTTCACTGATGTTTTGTACAGTCATTACGCAAAGAAATATGCAGTACATAAAATGCTCAATATCTATGGCAAGTAAATTGTACAGATAATGTTCAGCATATGGATTTGATAAATTTAAGGTAAATGCATTACAGTAATTAAACCCCAACCTTGGTTTAGTACTGCAGTCTAAACAAAAAACCACAAACACAATATAGCTTTTCTTATCATTATAGTTCTTTATTCAAAAATTTGACTGATGGAATTTACTAAATCAAAGAACTAACTGCTTTGGGTTACTATATCATTTTGAGTACTTGGCTCTTCACAGAAATTAATCAAAGAGACCAAAGCCCATGTCATCATCAGATTCCTCTTCCTCTTCTACCTTGGCTTCTTCTTTCTTCTCCTCTGCAGCTCCTCCACCGGCAGCTGGAGCTGCAGCCACAACGAATGCTGATGGATCAGCCAAGTAGCTCTTCACCTACAAAATACAAATCAAAATAATTAATACAATGCACATCCACCTACATATTAAAGCCTGGTTTCCATACAATCTCTACACACTATCACCGGCAGTTTTCGGTGATGTTGATTGGTCGGCCAAATCGGAGGCCTTTCCGATTCTGTAGGGGACTGCTAAGCAGTGCAACAGTGTAGCGATTTTATGGAAACCAGGTTAATATTTAAACAAACAGAAAAATAATAGCATTGCTCAAATAAGAACACATAATAATCATTATCAAGCATAGCTCATCAACCCCCCCCCCACTCTCTCTCATACCAATGACTGAAACAGTGGAGCTGTGGTTAAGCGGTAAGGTTAAGCGGTGTGGTTTAGTGGCAATTTTGACCTAGACTGCAGTATACTCATGCCCCTATCAGATGCCTATTTTCAGTTCAACTTGGCATAATCTTTGAATAGATAACTTACACTTTCAGCTTCCTTGAATTCAATTTCAGTTGCACAAGCGACAGCGAGAAGGTTCTTGAAACCGTTGATGATGGAATGCGGTACACTCGCTACGGTTGGATAACCGATCTGAAGACATACACTGGCGATGTTGCGGACTCCCTAAAACACAATCATACAACACAACTTCAGGATATAGTAATTACCTCCGCAGAAGAAGTTATGTATGCACTGCTGTTTGTCTCTATGTTAGCAAGATTATACAAAACTAATAAATGGGTCTTCATAAAAATTATTGGAGTGGTAGACAATGGTCTATATAGAAAAATATATATCAATTGATATTCCAATTTACAAGTTTTTTATTTATAACATAATTGTATGTAGTTGTTCAACTATTTATTACTGGTCTTGTATTATGTAAATTATATTGATATCAACAAGCATGCTACACTATTTTATTACTTTAGTTCAGAGATATCATAGAACTTTCATAAATACAAAGCCTGTCATGAGATAATTGTAAAAATAGAAACTTACCTCATGGAAACGTTTGATGAGGTCTTCATCGGTGATGTCCAAGATTGATGGATCAAATACAGTTCCAGCCTCAAACACTGCCAGACAAATTTATATAAATACAGAATATGTCATTAATTGTTTACATTTACATAGGTACAGCCTGTAAAGGACCTAATGGTCCATAAAGGCAACAGGGGCTGCATCGGGAACGGTTTGGTTTCCCAAACTTGAGATCAGGTTTTCAATCCCTCTCTGTGCATTTCGCTTGTGTCCTTGAGCAAGACACTTTATCTGCATTGCTTCTCTCCACCCAGGAGTATAAATGGGTACCTGGTGGGGTTGCCTGCTCCGATTACCAGCAGCAACACTTAGCATGTGGACCAAGTGACCAGGGAAAAGAACTGCGCTTTATAACCGCAAGGAAGAGGCGCATTATAAATGCCCATACCAATACTTGTACCCTACTATCTCTAAAGATGTACTGGGTTCTTTTAAAGTGCACATGAGCCAATTGTATACACTGGGCCTAGGATTTATAGTCCTTATCCAAGAATTGTTCCACTACCGATATTATGGCTGTGGTGCACCTGCCTTGGCTTGGCCATTCGACACGCCTTGTTTGTGCATTCTCTTTGCCTAGCATGCTTATAATCTAAAGTCAAAGATTAATGCATCTTGCATGCAACATTACTGAGTTGTGAAAACATGAGCATGCTCATGGGGGCCAATAAATTAGCATGTACAATTTATTTCAGACCAAATTATTGTGCCTCAGAGAACACAAAATCAAATATATGTGACAATTTAATTAATACATTTCTAATATGTTTAGGTGTGCAGGTACATATTCTATCAATCCTGATAGAATAATTCCACAACAATTTTCTTTTTAATAAACCTTGTTCAAACTCACCTTGCATGATCTTGAGCCCATAGGAGAATGGGGAGATCTTCAACATGTTCAAGAGTGTGGCCTCAGATGCACCAACCTTTTCGTCTACCTTGATCAAGTGGACTTTGTTCTGCATTAATAAAAAAAGATATCAAAAGAGCTTCTGAAAGACCAATGCTTAAAATATACCGCTATGTTTCTGCTATTCTATGTTGCCTGCATATTTCTGTATATAAATTAAACTATGGTCTACTCATGTAATGTAAGAAGGAATAAAAGTATTTTCAGAGGATATTTTTAGGGGTAATTAGGCAACAAATGATATTAGCAAAAATTAATTTCACATGTCAAAGACGACAAATGGAGTAGAGTAGTTGAAAGAAGACGAATTGGTGCAAACACCTTTTTTTTTGTCTCAACTCTGATTTACCAATGCACAAGGTACTGGATCACAAAAATCAGCAAATTCAAGAGGCTAGAAAACAAAACGACTAAGAACACAACTGAAAATTCAATGAGTCTATGCAAAATTTCGCTAAAAATTGATGTGGCTTGGGAAATCTTCTTAAGCATGCAAAGGTTGTAAGACATCAGCATCTATGATGATCATTAAAAATGCAAAAGAAACATGATAAACCTACCAAGATTTCAATGGTACCCCTGGCAATTTTTGTCTGGATAGACAAAGCCTGGAAGAAAGACGTTTTCTCTGGTCCAAGGCCAGTGTTCTGAGCTGGTATGAACACATCGATTGGAGCGAGGGCTCCTGCTTTAGCAGGGGCAGCAACCTTGTTGTCCAAGATCTTCTCTCGGATATCACTCAACTCAAGCTTGGTGAAGACAAACCCAACGTTGCCCTTGATGTACGGCAGTAGCCTAAAAAGCACACACAAAATGTTAGTGACGTATATCTAAATAATTTAATTAAATATTATATATTTGCCAATATAAAAACATGTCTGCATAAAAACTGTTTTCTGCATCAGAATAAATCAATTACTTACAAAAAAAATAATTGTATGAATAATATTATAATTAAGATTTAATGAGCATCAGCGTAAATGAAAATAAACATTGGTCATTTGTTTAACACTCTGCACTAACTACAAGTTGATGTTAAAAGTATTCCACAATCCTCTAAAAAAAGACAACTTGTAATGAATGCATTGAAGTTTGCACTATTCTACTTACCACTATATGGATTGTAGTAAAATTTTAATCTCATCCAACAGCGATTAACAGATGGATGATGCTCTACAAACCAAATCACATTATGGGACTTTGGGGAGTGGAGTTAATAATAATAATAATAATAATAATAATATTTATTTGGCAATCATCAAGTACAATTTATTATATCATGATTATAATCATGAGAAAAATCTTGCTGTCACAAGAATTGAATCCTGGGATCAGAAGTCAAGCATCTAAACCACTAAGCTATAAAACTCTAAACACTATATTGGCATTCCTGCAGGTGACTGTTTTATCAGACAGCACAAGGCATTTATGATCAGCCAACATCACCAGTACTAGAGGGTTCTGCCATTTCTGGCTCTAGCACCTAATGGCAATTAGATCATCTGTAAATTTGTCATCATCAAAACAGTTTACTGCACTGAATATATGAATATGAATTTTGATTATTTTTCATCAAGTATAACCCACAAAAGTATGTAAAGACCCTTTTGCAGCTCGACTTTCCGGTGGTCAATTGGTCAGTACATCATGAGACAATACCCAGAGCTCCTTTTCAAAAGATATGCTGTCCAATTACAGTACATGCCCATGGGCCACATTGCACACTTAAACAGACTTTCAGCTCTCCAGATGAGACACAAAAATGTCATCAAAAGAACTGAAGTGGGGGACAAAATATTGGAAAGAAACTCCATTACTTAGCAAACAAACACTACAGCGTATTGAGAGCTTGCTTATATTCACTATACAAGAATGAACTATTATTCATTAGCAAGCACACATAGTGGTTACCACCAGTTTAGCTAAGCTGCTCATTCATTTAAGTACACCATATAATGTTAGCAGTAATTTTTCCTTGTCTGTCAGTTTCTCTAGCCAAATTTTAATATTTGTTCTTGTGCAAATTCTGTAACATACTTACTTTTCCAGAGATGGATTCTGGTCAAGATGACTACGGATAGCCTTTCTCATCATGGTGTTCTTACCCATGAGCACAACTGGAAAAAATGTTTTAAAGCAAACATGGTCAATATCATGCTAATGTTAAATAAATTTTTAACCAAAATAAATTTATTCTAATAAAATGCTTATAATTAAATGGGACCTAGAAAGATGATTTGTATGAAATTTTTCATTAGTGTTGATCCAGCAAAATAAAAACCAATAGTACTCACACTACGTTTCGCGAACGATCCGTTCGCTTTTTCAAGTAGACTGGTGATGTTATTTCCAGTCTGGTCTGACGTCACCTCGGTGTTGTTGAGGTCGAAGTGCATCGCTGCGTCGTCGATGAGCACCCCTTCCCCCTCTTAGTGTTGTGGTTCAATATGATATCATCATAGATATGTGATAGAATGTGTCCTCCTTCATCTCTGTTCATAGTATCTGTTGTTTTTCTAATCCATAAAGATTCTCTAACTTTTCGTTCAAACCATGAGCTTTCTTTCTGTAATATTTTTATGTCCCAATTTGGAATATGATTTAGTTGTGTGGCATGATAGAAGGAGGACACATTCTATCACATATCTATGATGATATCATATTGAACCACAACACTAAGAGGGGGAGGGGGTGCTCGTCGACGACGCAGCGATGCACTTCGACCTCAACAACACCGAGGTGACGTCAGACCAGACTGGAAATAACATCACCAGTCTACTTGAAAAAGCGAACAGATCGTTCGCGAAACGTAGTGAGTACTATTGGTTTTTATTTTGCTTGATCAACACTAATGAAAAATTTCATACAAATTATATTTGGATCCAAATGAATTTATTTCAAAATAGAAAGATGATATTTTTTGTCTAGAGAAGATTTTCGATATGTCACTAGTAATCTAATCAACTTTAAAATCGTTTTTTAGCACATGCAGCATTACACCATTTTTGGTTACAGCAGCTTACACCGACGGCATGCTGCTAAAGGGGTAATAGTAATGGCCTATAACTTCCTAAAAAATAGCCAAAAAACAATTTTAAAGTTGATTCTATTGACATCGAAAATCCCCTCTAGAAAAAAATATCTTTCTCGGTCCCTTTTAAGATTGTTTGCCACTCACCTGCATATCCTCTTAGGGACATACGGATGGCTTGCATCTGCTTTGATCCAACATTGTCCACACCGACGATGAAACATTTTGGATATTCATCAAACAGTTGCTGCGAGACAAAAAATAAACTAAAGGTAGTTTTTCTCTTTTATTTAACCAGGTGACCAACAACTTGATAAAAAAAGAACAAATTATCTATTTTAAAAATATTATTGACTGTTTTATCAGACAGCACAAGGCATTTATAAACAGCTAACGTCACCAGTACTAGAGGGTTCTGCCATTTCTGGCTCTAGCACCTAACGGCAATGAGATCATCTGTAAATTTTTCATCATCAAAACAGTTTACGGTAATCATGGAAAAAACCTTTAGAGCAACAATTCAGCCTACAATTCATATTCCATAAAAGTAACAAGGAATGGAATGCAATGCATTGTTATAGCACCTTCTACCACAATAGAAAAACAAAGGAATGTCTCAAGATGCCAGTAACCATGAAAATTTACAATTATGTTAATTATTCGATAAACAGGCGTGAGAGCTAAGGTGGGCAACCCCCTGATTTTTAGATGGCTTGGCCATCACTACCGTGTACTTACAATGATTTTCAAAAAGTAGTTTGACTTCCACGTATCTTTGTCTTCCTTGGGCATCGTGATGTGCTTCAAGGATTACCTCAATGGGGTTTAAAGACTAAAAAAGAACAAAAAAGCAAAGCACTTTATTTATGGCAGTGGTTATACTGTAGCAACAACCCTAATTTGCGGCCTGGCTACCATTTTTTAGAAATCCCCTTGTGTTTACGGCCCCAACTGCTTATCTGTAAAAATTAACATTAAAACTGAGAATAAAGTAGTATAAAGCAGTGCATGAAAGTCTTCTGGAAGTGTCAAACTTCCAATCCAATCCATACATACAATAAAATCCAAACAGAATAAGGAAAATTGGTGCGCAGAATCGTAATTACTGTACCGCATAAACTGTTGTTTATCAAGATTAGGTAAAAGTTTAATTTGGGGAAAAATCTGCGCAGAAATTGGTCCATATTTTTAAAAGTGCGCGGATGGATTTCTAGTCCAAATTTTTTAACGGAGGATTATTCTTCGCGCAGGCTTTGGTATACAGTGTGGGCCTGGTACTAGCAACGGAAAATATCATGTCGGACGTTTTTATGTGTGATAACAGAACTAAATCGAGGTAAGGCTAGGCCTAGACTAGCAGCGTTGGATAGGCTAATGTTTTCGGCGCCTACGATATTTCTTCTCACGACCTATCACAAAATCAAACATGAAAAATTCATCCGCATTTATTTTTTGTGTGGAACACAAAAAAAAAAATCAAATTTCAGTCTTAATTATTTTACATTTTTTTCATTGTTAGGAATGTCTAAATTCAGTTAAACTAGCAATTCCGTATTATATTTATAAATCTTTATAACATTATAAAAAAATCAGATTTTTCTTAACAACTGAAATTTTGCCGGGAATGGGGCTTTAAAATTCTGGATAGGCCTATGTGGCAATTGTTCAGTTTTTGTTGAAATAAAAAAAGTGATTTAATAATATAAGGTTATCTATACTGTACAGGCCTAGGACTACTTACTGTATATTTAGACTCAATGGAAGCCTAGGCCCTAGGCCAATTATTTGTAGTAGTACTAAGGCGAGCGGGCTTGTAGTGCTTAGGCCTAGGCTAATAGTACCGACTAAAAAGTCAGACTGGCTAGCTAGGCCTACCTAGCTTTCTAGGTTATTATCTTCATAGAGAACCTATGATTCAGCGTAATTAACGAATATTTTGGGAATTTATGGAAATGTGCACATTTTGGTATATACAAAAATTTACATATGTGTCAAAAATAACCAATTTCTATCCATAACACAATGGAAATATAGAATTTAATCACCCAACTTTTACCTAATGTTAGTTAAAGATGAAGAGACGTGAAAAAAGAAAGACACACATGGCCAATCATATTACGCATGCGCATGAACTAACAGCAAAACAAATGAGCATCGCACCGAGACAAAATACCACAGACCCATTTGTATTCATGCCAGGTCTGTGCAAGGAGGGTATAAACGAAAATAATGTTTCTTGTTGGGCGTTTCTTTTTAGGTATGACGGAAATCCTGTTTATGTCTTCTAACTCAATGGTATTATATCATTCTAGCAAAAAAAAAAAAAAAAAAAAAAATGATAAACTGTATCATCAGTACACACTTTCCGGGTGTGTTTTGTTCCCCGATGAAGAGGAAGGTTCTTGAAGGGAAAATGAGGAATGAAACGAGAAACTTTTTTTTTTTTTTTTTTAAATTTCAATAATAATAGTGTAGTTTTATATAGCGCCAAATCCATCTAACATAAGATGCTCAGGGCGCTTGATATGTGGACTAGGAACACGATCAATGACATTCTTCACCCCAAGTAAGGGCCCTAATGTCTGTGACCCAGAACCCACTCTCGTCGGCGTCCCCGGCCCACAATGTTGTTCTCACATTGTACAATATCTGTTGTTTTATTTTTTTCCTCAGTAAAATAATAATGAAAAAGCGAATGACAAGTTTTGTTTAGGAATTCTCATAATTTTTTTGTCAATGTGTATTAGTGTATTGTTTTGGGCGGATGAGCCTTGATAGTCTAAACAATCTAGTACTGCAGCTAGAAAGCAATAAACATAAATTAAATAGGAAGAAAAAGCATTTTACCTCCAGCAGCATTATCCCTCTCCAATCCCCCATTCGATTTCGAAACTTCCTACACAAAAGAAAGTAACAATGGGAAAAGCTACTACTGTAATCAATATGGCCCAAAACAAGTATCAAAATTGAAATTATTTACAGTAACTTCACAAAAAAATATAGATTGCGCCCTCAATTGTTTGAAAAGCCAAATAAAAAATTCAAGATGGCAGCCTCCATGGAAAAGGTTGAAAATGTGAACGAATTTAAAGAAAACGAAGCATCTAATATACCATTTTCGACTCTAAACATGATGGAACTGCTGATGGGCCCGAATAAGAAGAAGTCAAGTGACGAAATAAGAACATTCGGGATTCCACATCCATTTAAACAGAAAAACGAATTATTGGTTGAGGGTGTTTTCGAGAGCTGTACATTCAAAACTGTAATTAGTTGTGTTTTAGGTCAGTTCAAAACACTATATAATTATAGAAAACATCTAGGTTATGGGATATCTAGTGTTATATTATCTATATAATTTCCTTTTGTACCCAAAACGTAGGTGTTCTTTTTTTACTAGCTATGGATCCTTCATTAATGAAATATGTGTGTCTGTGCTGCCTTTGTAGTGTACCACTCACCACTGCCGGTTTATTGTTAATTAAATTTACTATACATTTAATTATATTCTGTTTTCTGTACCAGGTTTTGGATTAGGAGCAGCAATTGGCCTATTTGCTGCAAGTGTGGACCCAGTTGACCCCGATAAATTAGCTAAACAACGAGCAAGAGATGTCCTTAAAGATATGGGAAAGAAAAGTTTTTTTCATGCTAAGAATTTTGCAGTTATTGGTGCTATGTTTGCAGGTGTAGAATGTCTTGTTGAATCGGTAAAAGATTTACTAAATATCATTTATTAAGAAGTATGTGATGGGAAGGCAGCAGTGGTAGGACTGAAATATTTTGCTGCAAATGAAGGATTTTTAATACATACATTATCCTTTTTTATTTAGCATCGGGGGCAGAGTGATTGGAAGAACAGCCCGATAGCTGGTTGTGTAACAGGGGGCGCCATAGGTCTAAGAGGCAAGTATTAAATACAGACAGTACATCATTTTAGTATAGTAATAGACTATTAATTCTAGTCGTTTCTCCTCAATCAGGAAGCAACATAATTAGGCCAAATAAAAAAAAAGTACTAGTTTCTTATCCCCTTACGCACCTATTTTCTCTGTCTCATCAAATTCTTATTTTTTAAAATTTCCTTCATTTTACGAAATGTACGAAAATCTGGCTAAATGACATCAGTAAAATTCCTCTCTTGATCATTCGTGGTTGGATATACAAATTTTATGAATCATGTCCAGTGCTTCTTTTATTTGCTTCCAATGTGTCTACTTCGTAAAAAGTAAGAAAGTAGTAGAGCTGTTTCAAATCGACCATCTTGGATTTACCATCTCGGAGTAAAAAAAAAGAAAAAAGTGCCCTCATTCTCTTTTTGTCAAAATGTTAGTACAAAAAATTACTTTTTCATTTTACTTGGCATTATATGTAGATTTGTGAATATGCAATCATTGTTTACTTTTTTTTCATGAAGTGTTTATAAAGCCTGGAATAGTAGGGGCCTATCCATATGGCGAGACCTTTTTTTATACCTTGTTTCGTGAACAATTTTTAAGATATTGCTAGAGGGTGGAAACATTTCTTCTTATTTAGCAAATAGTTTTGGTAAAAACATTCAGATGGAGAAAAAAATAAAAATAAAATTTTATTAGTAAGTAAACAGTATAGTAATGGGATGGTTAAATGCTTTAAATTTATATACAGTAATTAGGATGTAACATACATATCTTATTATTGGAGATTTCAAGACTTTTAACTGTTTTTGAAATTTCCATTTTTCATGGCAACAAGTGCGCTAATTGGTCAAAAAATTTATTTTTATTTGAAATCATCATTATTGGCATGCGGCGGGTTTGCTAAACAAGGTATAAAAAGTTGTGCCTTATGAAATGAATAGAATATTGCTATTGAAAAGTTGACATAATTTTCATGTTTATAAAATTACATAGATATTGTAATAATTAATAGAATGATGATGGTTATACAAACTCAATGCAGATCTACCCAGAACACTAACATAATCATAATTATTAACATAAATCAATATTGATTACTGTATTTCTATAAGCTTCAAATTTGTTTTATGTTTTTTATTTCAGCCGGAATTAAACCAGGTATGCTAGGCTGTGCTGGATTTGCAGCTTTTTCCATGGCCATTGACTATTACCTACATCCTCATTGATCCAAGTGCAATATGGGAAATTTGTAAACCTTATGGATTATAATCAACAGTCAGCACTCGATGTCAGATATGTAATCTATGATTAATACAAAGCAAAATAAGCTTATTGTGTTGTTAAAAGCTCAACTAAAACAAGACTTTGCAGACTTTTATTCTGATTCCTTCAGAGAGAAATATGAAAACAACTAAATGTTTAAAAGATAGTTTAAACAGCTTGTTTTGTTTTTATACTACGATATTGAATGTTAATATTTGTCTTCTGCATTCTGATGAAATATACCAAAACACTACTCTTACCGGTACAGGCAATATCCTTGCAAAAATAATGTATAAATACATACAGCGTGCATTCATACAGTTCTCAACTTGATCTCATCATTTTACTAAGTACTGCACAGTAAATGGAAATTTTCTGTAGTTTGTTGCAAAGTATTTGTAAATGTAAAAACAGCATCCATCTAAATGATTTCATTCACACTTGGTTAGCGATTTTTTGATTGCTGCCCAGTTGGAGAGTGCCCCTTTTGATGGGTTGAATAATAAATCCTGGTAGTATTTTTCTCCATTTTTATATGCACATAATTTGGTTGAATTTCCTTAACACTACGGAAGATCTATACTGAAATTGACAATTGGACACATAATGTAACAGGGAGAATCAATGGAGGATCTATGGTGGGGCACTTAGAGATTGTGCTTATTGAAATATGGTACTCAAAAACACTATTACTGTAGTTTATTAGAGTATTTAAATGGAAAATTGCTGAAAATAAAGTATTTTATTCCCACACACCTACAGGCCCACAAATTGATACTATTACAAATGAGATGCATACAGATTTTGTTCCTTACAAAGAAACACCAACAAATCCTTCTGTAATTCTCCACTGTTATTTAAATTTCCAAGCTGTTTCTGGAAAATACCACAGTTGCTCTGTACACAATCATTGTATGGAAAGTGAATTTCTCATGAAGAAGGAGATACTGTAAAGGATTGAAAGTATAATACATACTCCAAGTGGAACTTTTGGTAAAGGAATGAATGAACAAAGAACTGCGGTATTTGAAAGTCTAACAAAAACATTACTTGAGAACAAAAGTACAAAAGGTTGCCAAATACAATGGTTTTTGCATTTTATTGTGATAATAACAATACAGCACTCACTACAACTAATGTATTATGCTATTAAAATCTTTGTACTAACTTCTTCTTAAATATGTAGAAATATGAAAAAAATTTAAACATGTTAAAATACTATAAGAAAACACCAATAGAATCTACATACAGTATTGCTTTCCTTGTGACATCACATCCCAAATGCACCGCATACAGTATATTTATTATATATCATTCATTCATTTTTAATTTAAACGTCAATGGATCATTTACTGTACTTACATATTTATAGAAAATTCAGTTTCTACGAAACTCAACACAACATGGAATTCTACCATATAGTTATATGATATGAATCATATGTAGCTCATTTTGCTTTGTTAAAATCAACTATTATAAAACATTATATTTTTCAAATACTATTATAAAACTATAACAGATCTTAAAATAGTATTAATGTAACTCCTAAATAAAATATAATCACTTGAATGAACACAGTGATTTACAAACCTTCCAAACATGGGATTGTTTGCGCTAATTTGAAAAAGAACGCAAATTATTTGCTCAGTCATTGTTTTTCAATTCAAACATTATTTGGTCCTTGTGGTACAGTAAGCTCTCTAATAACACTATTAATTTAATCTGAAAATTTACCTGTATATGGGTGTGATATTACATCATTATCATCATGCCCATATACAGGTAAATTTATTTTCAGATAAAATTTACCTGTGGGTGTGATATTACATCATATACATATACAGGTAAATTTTCCGATAAAATTTACCTGTATATGGGTGTGATATTACATCATTATCATCATGCCCATATATGGGTTGATCACAGATATCTGTCACAAGAAACTTGCCAGTGTGCACAGCGCATTGCAATATTCATTCCAGCATTAAATGTTTCTCAAAGATCCTATAAACACAAGATGGCGTTCTCTGCGATGTACGCGTAACAAATAGAAGCCATCATTGTTTTGTGCCATTAAACATTACTTCATGTAATGGATTTAACACAATGTACATTCCTTTGATCAATAGATGATTATGGTAAATTCCAATTCACCAAGTGTCTTCCTTGTGTAGCCTTGGTAGTTTGTTCTTCCCTCTCCAGAGTTCACAAACATGTCATATCTCAAAGCCATTCCACACACTAATAGACAATGACACAATTAACACAGTAATTTCTTAGAATTTTTTATGAAAATTTCACTGATGATTCATATTTTTAAATAAAAATATGATTTTTATTTATTTATTCTCAACAAACAACTAAATAAAAACAATTGTTATACAGTATGAATAAAATATATCTCAAGCAATGAATGAAATCAGAAGAATAACTAACTGTTTTAGATGTGTTTACCAGCTGTTGCCCTCTTTGACACTAGAATGTGTACAGTACTGTCTTTTTCTTGTCAATTTTAAAATTTTAAAAGGTGAATTTGAATAAAAATAACTGGAATAGATGTGAAAGAGGCTTTTCTATATTTATTCTAAATACACGGGAACAAAAAATAATATTAATTTCAGGTAATTGATATGATGTATGAGTTGGAATTAAAGAAAGTAAAGTACTTACCACTGGGTGTAAGTTTCATCATCAATATGATCCTCAATTAACTTCTTTATAGCAGGTGGGGGGTTTAGGTTATGTTGCTCAGCATGTTCCCACCTCTCTAGCCTACTTACACCTGTTGTACACAAAACAATGTGAAAAAATACCATTGAATATTAAAACTGATAAATCAATAATATTAATTATCAATACAGTAATAAAATTAATATTAACCATACAGTAAGCCTAATCATTATAATAATAGTAGAATAAATTAACAACATTAAGATATAATATAGTAATAAAATACATCATCATTAATACAATTAGTATAGTAGTACAGTAATTTAAATTAAAATATTAATGCATAAATATGCAAATTGTATAATTATCTGAACAAATATATTATCTTTGAAGGTATGAAAAATTATCATACAGATCTAACATGTGAAAAAGAACGTAACAAAAACTGAAAGTATATTTATTTAATAGAGGCTAAAATTAAAACCTTACCTATTTGGTGACAGTGGTTTAGGATGCTTTTGTGCTATCCTGGCAGCTAATGACTATGGTATTTTTAATGTACTTAACGTTATGTTCAATTGATTTATAGACTTGTGTTACATTCTGTACATCTTTTTCCTGAATAAATAATAATATTAATAATAACAATAATAATAACAATAATAATAATAAATGATAATGATAATAATAAATAAATAAATAATAAATAATAATTAATAAGTGCTACGTGTCCAATATTGAATAATAAAAAATAATGAAAATATTGACTGACCTACACAGGGCCCATACTCCCACTTGAGGTCAAATGCCCGCAACACCTGCAGTTGTTTCTGATGCAAAATATCTGCAGCAGTCAGTTCAGGCTCTGAAGCAAAATTTCAAAATCATAACTGGCCTTCAAACAAGCGGCTGATAACTCAGTGGAATAGCCATTAGAATTATCATTTTAACCTAAACTTGTTTACGGCAATTCCATTAAAAAAAAGTTGAAAATAAAATACGAAACGATTGCTCGACTTTACAGTATTTAGTGATTAACAATTCTTTTGAATAAACAGTTTGGGTCAAGTTTAGGTCACAATGTCTGTGTACAGAAAAAAGTTTCAAAATGTATTAACAAAAATAAAATTTTATAACAAATTGGTTTTATTTGAAAATTATTTGGCCTATTTACTAAATGCAGTATCATCAGTAAACACAATACTTTGCTATGTTAGGACTGTTTCCACTAGTTTATATGTCAATGGAAACTTGATATTTTCCACAGGCAATGTGGGGCAGTCTGTCAAGATTGAGTGGGAATAAATCGAGAGTTGACCATTTACAATTAGGCATGTCACTGTCACTTCTTTAACTACATGGAAGTCTACACACACACACACAAACACACACAAACACACACACCCACAAACACGAATAGTTCCTATTGCATTACAATTACATGCATAACCTCGGAACTAAAAGTGTTAAATATAAAGTTAATCAATATTACATCATCAAAATACTGTAAGCCTAGGCCTACTACTACATTAATAATTAATCATCAAAATAGAGTGAAACAACAAAATGCGGCCTAAAGCCTTCACCTATCCTTTTGCACGCTTTCCACTAGCTAGGCACTTGGGATTGTGCTACTACTACTTCATCCACTTTCCTAGGCGTGTTTATGTGGCATATGCCTATCTAGAAGGAGGAGGTTAGCATCTCGGCCTCAATGTGGGCAGGCCTAGCCTACACAGTACAGTACTAGGCCTAGCCTATCTATACTATAGTATAGACAAAGACGAAAGTACCAACCTGTTGCTGTTCGTTTTGGCAGAATCTTTTCTTGTTTATTTCTTTTCTTCTTTGATGATTCGCTAGATTCTTTCTTTACACGAAAGTAGGTAGATAACTTGGATGAAGACATATTTATAAAACAGCAGAGGACCAGACCTAGAACTACAACCACGTAAATACAACAAATGTAATAAATATGTTTGCTTCTCACTTTAGTTTAAAATACAGTACAGTCTATACTACAACATGTCCTATCACGCCTTCATTATTTGTTTTGATTCAATTAAAGAGTTTTCCATTCGAGATAGAGGGGTATCGAATTTGATTTAACTGTTTACAGTATTTAAAAAGTTAGTAAAAGCCACAAAATTCGTCTCTTTTATAATTAATTAGAACACACATTTACAAAATTATTATACAGAACTTTTCAATATTATTTAAAAAAAATAATAGTTAATTTTAAATAGTAGTTGTCCTCTTTGTATAATGGAGTAAGACATAGGCCCAGGCTATGTCAGAGTGCATTGCGCATGACTGCTCAATTTCTGGATTAGTTAGATCATTGTCATTGATGATGAGAGAGAGGAAAATAGGCAGAACCCTCCGGAAGAAGTCACTTCAAAACTGTAAAACATACATGTTTTGCTGTCGGAAGATTTCCAAGTTTTGTTTCACCATGGAATTATAGCGTATTTATCGCTGTGCTTGTTATTTTCAACGATGTCTAAGACAAAGATGCGTTTGAACGAGCGCAATGTCGCCTATTTCGCCTCATGTAATTCCCCTATTGACAAGGAAGGCATATTGAACAAGAGAGGCGAATCGAGTCGTTTTCACAGGCGATATTTTGTTTTGAAGGGCAATTTATTATTCTACTTCGACAAGAAAGGTGATAAAGAACCAATTGGATTAATCATTTTAGAAGGATGCAGGATAGAACTGGCAGACATGGATGATAACAATATGTTCCAAATATCATTCCCTGGAGAAGGCGTTAGGTCATACGCTTTGGGTGCGAATTCACAAGATGAAATGGAGTCTTGGATGAAAGTTTTATCTTGTGCTAGTTATGAGTATATGAAAGCTATGGTTATTGAATTACAAAGGCAACTTGATGAACTATCTCATAATGACAGCAATATTGCTGCGGCTCGACAGTCGCATCGTTACAGCCAATACACTCCATCTCGGCAAGACAACGATAGTGTAAATGGTGCACGACTTTCTGATGTTCATAGTCACAGCACAGGTAGTCTGGATGAAATACGAGACAATCCAATGCCACTCCCAGGTAGCTCAGCTGTGAGCATTTACGATAAAGGAAAAACGGAATCGCTCGCACATACAGGTGCACCCCGAAGGAGTCCATTTCATAGCAACAGAAATTCTGAACCGGAGCCTGTCTGTGGTCCGTCACGTTATAATAATCCAGCATACGATATATGGAACCCGATAGATGATGATGGACCTGTTAGCGATACATTATCTTCAAGCACGTCAAGCTCACGTGATTCTGAGTACGAGGAACTTCCGGACGGTAGAACAAGACCAGTCTCGTATGAAAACGTTCCTGTTGTAGACATACCCCAACCACGCGCCACTAGTCGATTAAGCAGTGCAACATCGATGATAAAAAAGAATAATCCATTTTCTCGATCAGCACCCCCAACAGTGACGCGACCCCAACAAACTGTATATATAGATGGTGAAAAGAGAGCACGCTCATTTGCAGAATTACATCAAGATTTTGGTGTATTCATAGTTCGTATGGTGAATGAAAGCCGACACAAGCGAACACTTGATGCTAAAAATAGTAATGATTCTGCATGACAACTTAATAACTAAAAAAATGATAATTAGTGACAGTATTTGACGCTGCTGGACAATTGACAATTTTGTATACAGTAATTGTACTGCCTCCATTAATAATTCATAATAAAAATGTGACTAAATATTATTAAGCACCAAAACAACTTGCCAACAATCGTAGTAGATATTTTAAACAGTTGTATAATAACTAAAAACCAGAACTATAAAAGAAATGGTAAGATTTTACAAAAAGAAGTATTTTAATATTGAGTGCGAAATTGTTCAGGACAGGATATTTATTTCTTAGTTCAGTGGGATCAGTGTTAAAGCTTATTGTGACAGAAGAAATTGAAACAGTCACCAGCTAGTTCATTTTGGGCTATGTAACTAACACCAAGGAGGTTAACCTCCTTGCTAACACACAGCATGTTGAAGTATGAGTGAATTGGGCATTTATTGAAAGTGAGAAGAATCTTGAATTTCAGTCTCTGATTGACAGTAAGCCAATTGATGATGATTATTATGAAGTAAGAATGAATTTTAGCCAGAATGAGAACTTTCATTGTGTGGACAAATAAAGCCACACTTTTGTCATTTTTCAGAGTTACTGTCCAAAGTTGGACACCTTTAGCAAATTTACGAGTAAGCCAAAGAGAAGAGAGTTTCAGAATTGATTGTAAATGATTGCAATGGATGAAAAAGATGCAGGTAGCAGAAGATCCTGATTATTGGTAATTCCCAAGATCGCATCTTTAGATTTTTCACTCTCAAAATATCTCTGTTTTGTTTTGTTAAAGGTACTCTTTTTATGCTGGTAAAGATACATGATAACTTTAATTGGTTTAGCAACTGATGTGTGATTACAATCAGCAATATTGTAAACATTGTTTTAATGATACTGATAGTAACTTTATCAGACATACCATTGCTTGTGGACTAGTACCAGCTAAAATATTTTATGCAATTGGCATTTTATCTGCTGTGTGCTGAAATTATCTTAGGGTTTTTTGGCAAGCCTAAATATAATATGATTGTTGAGGCGAGACTTTTTTTGTAGGGCTGTCTTGTTTATGAAACCCGCTGCCCGCCAATAATTATTTCAAATAAAAATTAAATTAAATTTTTGGCCAATTAGCGCACCCGCCGTCATGAAAAATGAAAATTTCAGAAAAAATTTAATTTTTCTTTATTTTTATTATGCCTGCTACTGCCTTGAAATCTCCAAAAATATAATATGTAAATTTCTTCCTAAATATATAAATTTGAAGTGCTAACCATCCCAATATTATCACTGTTTACATTCAGCAATCAACAATCTGAGAAAAGATAAGTTCGCGAAACAAAGTACAAAAAAATCTTGCCTGAACAGTGAGAATATATTTTAATGTAGACAGGGTTAATTAAATATACTGTACTGTACACCTCTACAATTTTTATTGAACTTTGAACTGATACTTAATGCATTATTCTTTCAAAATAATTTTGGAGAAAAAAAACCTTGATTGGATCCAGTGTTAATAATCACATGTTTAGTATAATTGTTTTGCATGCTTTTTAAATAGAATTATCTGCTTGGATACAAAATATAATTGATATTAATTACCAATAATTAATTTTTATAATCCGACAACTAACAAAAATATATAAGATGTATTGTAGCATGTTTAACTTATTATAAAAAAAAAAAATCTGCATTTTTCAATTTGTGGATTAAATTTTAAATTTTCCAAATTCTTTTGTCAAGCCTTCTAAGCTGCAACACGTGACTAATCCTAATACCAACAATGTGTAAAACTTAGTTATCAGGTATCAATGAAATATTGGATTTTATTGGTTCAAACGTGATGCTTAATGGACGTTTAAGTATATTATATTTCAGGAATTGTACTTCTGTTCTACTAAGTAGTAGAAAAGTACAACACTGCACCCAGTACAAAGTGATTGCAACTAAAAATGAAATCTGATAAAACAGGATACAGACATATATACAGTAACTGTAGTGTTTACAGTACACTTAACAAGTTTTTGTCTAGTTTAACTTTGAACTGTATATCATAGGCAACTTCAAATTCTCACTTCCTCTCACATCAGTGCTAAAAACAAGGCATTGTCATCAATTACCATTGCAGCCTATCAGCTTTCTTAGTTGTCTGCTGAAATAACCACCAAAGATTACTGTATACCTTCCTCTAGCCTTCATTGATAATCACATCCGAAATACACTAAGTGCCAGAAAGAGCCACTTGTAGTTGACAACTTGATATTAATGCTGGCCAGGTATTTACCATGCATGCAGTACATTACTGTATTGCACTTATTACATATTATTGGAGTGTTAAAATGGTACCATAGGCCTGTCTGAACATTAGCATTTTTCTGTAAGGAAATTAGAAAGTTTTATAGCATCCAGATGATATAAGCATCAAGGTATATTTGATAATATATACTTTTGATTAAATGTTGCGAGGTTTATTAAAAATAGAATGGTCTAATATGCACCGCAGTGCTTCTTAACCAAGGGCAATGCTGTCATGATTCTCATATTTTTGGTCGTGAACAATAGTTGGGTCTCTGTGGCATATTACACAGGATTGAACAGCAGTATTCAGCATTTTTCTAAGATTAAAAACAAATTATTTGTTTCTAATGGCTGTCTAAATTCAATATACATCTGTCTTTAGAACTGACTAGCTTCTTATCCTTTGGATAATTATATTTACTGAAAAAGAAAGTGAAAATAAGTAAAGGGTAATTTGATTTCCAGTCGGAAGTGTCATCATTATGGTTGCCACAGCAACCCTTCACACTTTTATTACTTGAATTCAAGATTAGATTTTTAGGTAAAAAGGTTATAATTTTGTTGTATGGCAGACCAGTTCAAGTTTCTCTCTAGAAAAGAGCAAATATTACTTGAAACTTTTAAACATGATTATAAACAGATGATGATTGCTGAGCTTTTGGTTTTATGTGAATAACAAACATGTGACCAAAGATTTTTTTTTGTAACTGGAGTAATTTTACTTTCTGTGTTTACAGGTACAGACACAATTGTTATTGTTTTTTTTTATACCTGTACATACACAACTCCTAGGCCTTTTAAAGTATAAATGGAAAAAAAAAATCAGTATGGGGATAATTTTTAGTTAAAAAATAGATTTTCAGTCATATATGTATAAGTGGACAACTACAGACTATTGGTTAATGGGCCTTTCTGGTGTGTCAATCAAACTTATCTGACCAACCAGAAGAGGGGGAATATGCATGTGTCTTAAAAACAAGTGTATGCTCATGTTTTTACACTGTCATTTTGTCGGACCTTAAGGATATTACATTATTATTATTATTACTATTCATTGTTTAAAATAGGTAAGATTTTGAAACTTTCAAAATTTGTTGAAAAATACTTTTTTGATATTGTGAAATTGTAATATAAAATTTATTTTCTACTATAAAAATAAAATATCCATCCAAATGCCTATGTGAGTGATATGTGTCATATCTAATTATAATTTACCAGGCATAATACTGTAATTTTGATTTTCGTGTGCGCTACACATCTCGGAGCTGCAGTCAGTACCATTTAAAACGTTCAAAGATGGTTGAACTTCCTCACAAAAATTTCAACTGATTGGGATATCCTGACATTTTGTTCAAGATCATGTGTAATGTCGAGCGTCAATCAATCGTCTATTTATAAGATGCACATGTCTGTCTATGGAAGATTTTTGCAGTGATCTATCTCAAATTACTTTGCCAGAAATTATAGAAAACAAAATGAAAATGTTAAGATATACTGTCTGTGATGCAGTTGCTGTCATGAGCTAAAAACATGAAAAAAGTGTTCTGTTACTTTGTTATTTCAGTAGCTTTCAATTCAAAATTCAAATCAATATGAAAAAAACTTAACGTGACAATCAACAGATGTATAATAATACCACTTATATTAGCTGCTAAACAGTTTTGTAGTTTCATGTCTGTAAATCAGAGAGAACTTAGCTGTTTCGATGGGTATTTTATCGAAGTACAGTATTATACAAATACAATTCTGGATTTGTGAAATAATTCTAAAACCAACTGCAAGAATGCCATTGTATTGCAACAGATATATTTACTTGCATGGTAGGAGTAAATCCCTGTTTTGCCATTAAATTTTATAATTTGTGTGCACACCCCCCCCCCCCCTTTGAAAAATTCTGGATCCGCCCCTGAAGCAAACTGATTTATTCAAAATTGATGCCTACTGTACTTATGAAGAATACAGAGTAAAAATTTAACCCATAGTAATATTTTAGAGTGCTTGTTTCTAAGATATTAACTTTGCAATCACTGGAAATAGACACCAGTTTGGGAATAGGTATTGATTGGAATGACAAACCTTTGTTGCAAAAGATCCCACAGGAAACGTATATCAAATACATCTATAAATTTCAGGAAGTGTAATAGAGGTGACCTTTGTTCTTGGTTATGTAAACCAGACTATAAAATAATTATGCAAAATCACTGTCCAGAAAATTCAGGAAACATTTTGTTGATTTATTTTCATTTTAAATAAGTTTAAACACGCGCTTCAGTAACGGACTAATACAGAAAGTATCAGCAATGGGGATTTCCTTTTACAAACAATTGTTGTTATTATTTATCCTTTCTTTCACTAACTGGTTTGTTGAATGGGCATCAGCACTATTACAGTAAAAGGACAGTAAAAACTTTGTAATTGCCATACATATCACAATCAGAAAAATAGAAGAGCATTAATACATAAAATATTCTGATTCCAGAAGCAGCTTAGCTGAGTTGGCTAAACTGGCGGTGGCAACAGTGTGCATGCATTGAACTGTAGAGATCAGTGGTGGCTCTGGGATATACTTTCTGGGGGAGGGGGCTAAGCTGTCCAACAGCAAGTTATGATAGCACGCCATCTTTTGGATGTGACGTCCAAGCTGTTGGTCAATATGGCCCAGGTACATGTTAAACAATGTAATATACTTTTCGGCAAAGCATAAAGGATTGTTGTCTGGTGTACTGCTCAACCACCACTTCGGACATACTGAATTATCTTTGGTGTATTTTACACCAAAAACAACCATACTCCTGCTCTGTTATGCAAGTGTCTTTAAAATGTTCAGGATTAATTGAACAGAATATATGTAGTAATAAGTGTAGTATTATTATTGTGTATTTCCTTATATATTATTCACTAAAAATAAATCAAATAATTAAGCACATACTGTTAAAATGATTTATTGTTCAATAAATACATTTGGAAAAAAACACAGGATATTTTCCCAGAATATTTCTACAATGAGTTATCGTGATACAAATCCTAAATCTTTTTTAATGCATTCTTGAACTCTATATATTATAAAGGTTGATTGGGCATGCAATATGAATGGCAACCTAGTATTAAACTGAAAGTATTTCATAATATTGCATGCTACACATGAATAAAGGACTAAGACAAAGGATTTGGTATTTATTAGTATTTTAAAACCATTTTATGTATTACAAGGGGAGAGGGGTAGGAAAATGAAAAAAGCAGGGGACAGAAAACTACTTTAAAATCAATTACACTGCAGACTATGATGCTGTTTTTCATAAGTGCGGAATAAGAACAAGTATATATAAAGAGAAGTATGCATGCCTCAACATGAATAGCTATATTTATGTTGGTTAAAAATTAATATTGCATTACAAACACGATGTACAGTAATAACATAGTACAGAGCACATAATCATGATCATCATTAGCAGATGATGAAAGAAACTGATTTGGTCAAATAACAATTCACAAACATTATTTGGCTTAGAATGACCACACTTAAACACAGATTAATGTAGTCATAATATCAGCATCCCTAATTTGGTTAATTAGATATTTCTGTGAAGCATCTACAAAAATATATTGTCTAAAGGCAAGAACAATGAAATTACAAGGACCATTATGCACATACAGTATAACTCGATCAACACTGCAATTTAACACCAAATTCCCAAGATATTGGGTAGGGGGTTCTGGGTTGCAAAGCTTGAGCATCCAAAAATTGAAAAAATCTAATGCCTTTTAACTATGGGTTTTAGCACTGTAGCTACCATCATACCAACCAAAATATATGGAGATGGGGGTCAATTGGCATTGAAACCTAGAATTAGATCTATAGTTGAAAAGAAAACCAAATTTATGACCCTGAAAAAGAAAAATATGTTCTAATTACACAAAAAATAATATGCTGAGTTTGTATCATAAATTTTAATCTATATAATCAGTCCTTGGATATTCACAAATTAAAACACATTTAACTTTATTATGTAACCCAGCTAAACCCGAACACTGAATCAATCAAAAAATGACTTTAGCATCACATTCCTTCAGCTTACATTTACAGCTGGGACTAAGCTAGTTCAGCTTATTTCATATTTGCATGCAACTACTCAAGAATACAGGGTTATACAAAATGAGTTAAAATGTTTAAAATATATATATTTTAAATAAATGAATATAATACATCTTTTTTTGATTAAAATGTTAATTTGAATGTCATAATGAATCTGGTTTACTACCTTAGACACTAATACAGCATACAGTATCAATCTAGCCAAGATGCTGAGTTGGAGTATATTAGTAGTTTACCTGGGAATATCTGGGAAGGCATTGTGAGTAGGTTGAAGGACATACTGGGTAGAGAGGTTAGATATTAGTGTATTATTCTTTGTATAAAAGCATTGCTGGTAGTCTAAATTGCATCTTTCATAGACATGTCATTGTTTGCAAGAATGTCTTATTCTGAAAGTAAAAAAAAAATCTATTACATTAATGAAAATGGTTTCTTTGTCTAACTTGTTGGACCGTCCCTGTCGACAAACTTTTGTTGCATAAAATAAAGGTAAATGCGTAGGGGAATAACCCATAACCTGCAGCGTCATTGTGCTGAATTGCATATAGGTGTGGCCCGTGACTACTGTAGCAACCATAGAGAGGTGCTTAGTTCATTCCATGAATGGAGCTGAAATGAACCATAGCGTCACAGTAACTATTACTCTTCGGAAAGATGCAATGGCTTCTTTAAAGTGCACACAAGCAAGATGTGTACAGCTAAACTTGCCTAAGTCGAATCCAAAATGGCATTGAGAAAATTGTTTGACTTGGAAAAAATTTGACTTATAGATCGTTAATTAATGGAAAACACAACAATTTGCCATGTAAAATAAAAATAATTTGAGTTAAGCGAGGAGCGGCTTGAATCAGCACTGACGTTAGTTAAGGCGCCCCTGCCTTACCACTCTGCCACTTGACTATCCCAAGGACTAAAAGAATTACGGTTATTCTTGCTAGTATCATGTAGTTTTGCAGATTAAAACAGCACAACTGAAAGACCCAGATAGGGTATTCTTGACAGCCTTAAAAATGACTGTCATTTCTTTGCCCAGGATGTTCTTATAAAAGCTGATTGGCTGAGCGGTTAAGTCAGGGCACCGCAAACTTCAGCTCTAATATCGGCGCTGGTTCGAACAGCTCACTCGCATTTGGCTCGTGTGCACTTTAAAGAACCCAGTACATCCTTCGAGAAGAGTAGGGGTTTCCCGGTGTACTGGTCCATTAAGTCCCCTGTTGTTAAATGGATATGCCACGTAGGATAATGATTATGTTCACTTATTGGCATATCCTTGGCACTTGTGCCTAAAGAAATGAAATCACCATTTTCTAGGCCTGGTGGTCTTATGATACACTACATGACAAAATTATCTGATCAAACTAACAGTTTCTTTTTTAAATGTCTATTGCAAGCCAGACAATGCTCTAGCACTGCATAAAGCCCTGTGCAGATTGTCAAATTTAATGTGACAAATTTGTGTAAATTGTCACAATTGTCATGATGATGTCATATTGCATCATTTATGGACAAATCACAGGTACTTGTCAGTCACATCAAATTTGACAGTGTGGACACAGCTTAAAGCCCTGTACAGACTGTCAAATTTTATTTGACAAAAATATTAGACATGCCTAATGGGCATGACATCATCACATCATGACCATATATAGGCACATCATGACTATATATGGGCATACAACAGTTTTTTGTCGAAGAAAATGTGATAATGTGGACAGAGTTTTAGAAAAAGTCTGATCAAACACTGCCAGTTCAGACTGACAGACAAAAACTTAACCAGTATCTTGTAAATTGCACAAAATATACTATGTTTTTCACTAATAATATTCTAAATAATATTTTTTATTCTTTTTACTATTATAATTATAATAATTATCAAAGCCAGTATTAGTATCAATCAATCAATCTATAAGGCCATTATAGAATAACAAACAATAAAAATATAAATACCCAATTTACCATCTGAATTTTTCAATTTAATATAACTAAAGAAGTAATTATAATATAATAATACTATTCCTCCATTCTAGCTATCCTTTTGTTCGTTGTTACCATTTGCTTGTTCAATAGCCTTGTTTCCTAGTGTTTTTTTTGTTCCTCTAAATAAGTTCTCCTCATTAGTCGATCTTTGTGCCTGTGTATTCCCTCTCCTAGTGGATGTAAAATATAACTACAGGTACCTCCTTATTATTTGTTCAGGTCCTACAATCAAATTATTATAATGACCAATACATTATCCAGGCTATGGTTTTCTCTGTGGAAATAAAGTACTTCTTAATTTTCAACTTAACTGGCACCTTAATGTCTACAACCATGATCATTGACCATGAAGTTTAATAAAATATATTTAAATACAACTGAATACAACAAATACATCTTAATACTTTTTCATACACAACATGCAGTACTGTTAAACCTAGCAATCAGAACATACCTACAGCCTGGCAATTCAATCCAGACCAACATAGTTTTTGAAACACAACCTTTTACAAGAAGCTAGCCGGGTTAATCTTCCACGTCACCACAAATCCCCTGTCGTCAGATGCTATGCATTTGCCAAACCAACTAAAGTAATTGTGATTGTAGTCGCTACTATTGTGGTCTAAATTTACAATTTTCAGCATCCTAAATCACAACATTTCTCCCGCTTGACCTCACAGACAGGGACTTCACCCTGACCAGACTCTATAGGCAGCCCCTTCTTCAGAACACCTGTTGAAGTTGTCGGAACCCCTGTCAGTAACTTTCTGAAGCCAATACTTCCCCCTCACAAGAACCATGGTTGGGTTATTCTTTGAAGTACACTATACACAAAATACCATCCACCATCACTTATATGACCAATAAAGGCTTAAAAAACACCAATATTAGCTCAGCTTAGTTGGTCAAAGAACAACCCAATTTCTTGGCCCTTCAAGGCATTTCAAAGCACCACCAATTTCTAGACCTAGGTGGCCTTACGATACACCTCCTAGGGAAATAACATCAAAGCACACATCACAGACTCTCACTGGTTTGGTCAATTCATACTTAACGATGGGAACCATCTTCGACGAACACTTGGCGCACAAGACACGACCGCAGTGACGGCTGAAAATAAATATGAATCCATTTGAGATAACACTCCTTTTATGTCCACCTTAATGCTTTTTAGCATTAAAGATTGTGACCTATGTGTATATTTGTGTTAAACTGAGTACAAACTGTGCTGACAATCAAAAAAAAAAAAGTGTTTAATGACAATTTGCTCTCTGCCTTAGACAATCAGAAGACAGTATTAGTATCAACAAGTGCTCAACCAACACACAACCATTGTATGATGTAATATGTTGCCTGGATTTACTGGGCGTTACTGAATGCCCTACTTTGAGTATTCTTGTTTCACAATCAAAATTATTGATGGACTGTATGATTATATAACAATACAGGTCTACCTCCATTTAAAGACCACCTCCTATTAAAGATGACTTTTCTGTGGTTCCAAATTAACAAATTTCTTTAATATTCTAATTAGAGACCACAGCTGCTAAAGACCATGGAAATCCCAGTCCCAAAAGGGTTTTTAATTGGAGGAACACCTGTACTTACATTTTTCTTAAGTTAATGATATTTGATTTGCCCTTTAATTCTTAAAGCTTACCAGTGATGTTTTCTTGTTTTAATTCCAAACTTAGCTTGACACTCCTGACAAACTTCACTCTCTGACCAAGTTGGCTCCTTTGATAACATGTCTACATAAAAAAAAGAAGAAAAGATCATATCAAACTTCATTTATTTGTTATCAGTCCTGTAGTTACACCGCATCTTTGTCACCTCCATATAATCATTTCAATGTCAATTAATTTCAATTAAAGTAAAAAAATTAAGCTGTTATTAAAAAATGAACACTATAATAAGTATGTAAACAAAGAGAAAACTTCGGTGTTTTATCAGCACATGAAAGAGGAGCACGGAGGAGAAATGAAGGAGTTAACGGTCAAAATCTTATATTATGCAAGAAACCGACATAATATAAAGGAACAGTGGTATGATGTCATCAGTTATTTACCATACACATGAATAACCACTACTCCGTATAGTGTTATTTAACATGTTATGCGGAAACGGAGATGAACCGATTGGTTCAGACGACGACCGGACTACGCCTGAAGAGGGTCCAGACAAACCAAAAATTTGCGTCACATAGTGTAAGTGTTGAATGTATATATATATATATATGCTTATATATGTTTTTACACTGCTGTCAGTACACCATACTTTGGGTCGAAATGGCTCCATTTCGTGTTAAATCTTGTATAAAAAATGATACCTTTGACTGAATTAAAGCTATTGGAATGGTAATATTAAAACATCTTTTAACAAGGATTCAAGTCTCCCTGAAATGGGGATGGCCTCCCGCAAGCAAATAACCTATCTCCTGCAAATTCATAACATACTACTCTATTATCAATTGCCTCATGCAAGTCAGTGCCAATCGGTGTCACCATGCGCAGCAAAATAAAATGGTTTAAGAAAGCTCATTTAACCAGATTTCCTGGCAGGGACTTCTTGCAACTTGGGACCCCTGTGTTAATTGGCAAGAACAAATTTTTTTTATCAATGTCTGAGGTCAAGAGAGAGAAATATTATCATTTTTTTCAGTTGATACAAATGAAAGAATTTTTTTTTTCAATTTAATATTTGATGTAGGTGGCAGCATATATTTAATACGATCTGGAAATATTTATGCAAGAATCTGATTGTAAACCAATTAACAAGTTTTGAATATGATTTCATTTGCTCCAGATAGATCATGCCCTTTTTCAAAATCATCCCTCAAAAGTCACCAGAATTTAGGCGACATTTTTTTTATACCTTGTTTTGCGAACTTATTTTTTAAAAGATCATCAGAGCAGGGAGGAACAAAGATAATATTTTTGCCAAAAACATTGAGAGACGGAGGAGAAAATAAAAAGAAAATTCCAGGGTCTAATTTCTGTCACAGTATAGGAATTCTTCTCACGGCGAAAAACAACTCCACTCTCTAAGCCCAATGATACTTAGTTTATGTAGAGCATCATGTGTGTATGTTTGCCTTGTGTTATTAAAAAGTGTTGAAGGACCCAAATGGAAAGCAACATCTGACACTGATTGGGTTTCACCTTTATTAAAGGTGACAAAAAATGTAAAGAGACTCTATTGTAATTTGTGCTGCACATAAAAATGGCGTTATTATTATTATTATTATTATTATTATTATTATTATTATTATTATTATTATCCTTTATGATGTTATTATGACTTTATTATTATTATTTGTTAAAAAGATTCAATACTTACCAAGCATTCTAAAAAGAAGCTGCTTAGTGGCGACTGGAACATTGAATATTGACTGTCCTTGTTTGTTCAGAGTCCCCAGACTAGCTCCTGATCGAACAATTGTCCTGCATAACCCACTGTTACCATTCTGGTATGCCAGCATCAACACTACAACAGAGAATTATATATACACAAATTTAAGTTGATACATAGAATGATGGGACATTACTTTTACTGTTTAGTAGCCGTCTTTTTCGGAAGATACATGGCCACCATTGACGAGATCTGTTGACAAAATTACTGCTGGTGTTTACTTTGAGAGCAAAGATTTTCCATTATGCTATAATAATACACAAATGTATTTCAGCTATCTTATGAGATAATCTGATTACAATGTCAACATGATAAATCACTTAGTTTGAGTAGATCAAATTTACAATAATTAAAGAATTGAATTCGCATAATGGAGACAAGTGCATTTGTGATGTCATGACATAATTGTATGCCCCTGGCAATACATTATGAGAGTAGTGCAATTTATTATTAAATTTAATAATTTACAGTATTCTGTCTGTTTATATTAAATTGGCTGAACCTGTATGAGGGCTCTTTTTATGAGCTTACTGTTAGAGCAACCATCTTGAAACACTGTAGAATAAATAAAATACAGTAATAAAGAAAATTAATGTAATCTAAAACATAAAATCCATGATTGAAATTTCTGTAAAAGAATTTATTACCTGTATTGCCATCCGCATTCTGTTTCTCCACAGGATAAGCAGGCATGCACTCTTTAAATAGATCAAAAATGGCCGCCGCATTATCCCTGCCATATTGCCCTAATATGTGCATTGGTGTCTGTGACCTACGAAAACAATGGATTTACACATGAATAGTAGTAGAGGAAGAAAAAAAAATGTAATAATTAACTGGAGAAAAAAATTCTTGGACATATTATTAATTTATTATTTTTGAAGAAACTGAAAGTAGCAAAAACTATGAACCATTTAATTAACTTAAAGTCACCTTTACTGCAGATAAACCCAATAAAATGTGTTTAAAAAATATATTAATAATAGTAATGTAGATTTTACAATTTTTATAATTTCTTTATTTTGAAATGAAAAAAAACCCCAATTTTATCTTGAATATATTCCATGCTGTTTACAACTGTCAAAGATATTGTTTACATTATAGGAAGTCCCTATATTACTTCCTTCAGTTTCTTTCAAGAAATTGCATTGCTCAATTAATCCTACATTTGTAAGGCAAAGTAAATATTTAATGTTGTTATTATTTTTTTCACTTTCCCATCTTTGTGTAGTTTGTCTTCTACCGCTTACTTTTCCATTTTAACCATTTATTCTGGTTTTGTTTTTTTCTGTTCTTAAAAGTGCATAGAGACAAATGTTATATGCTCCATATGCAAGTGCACAGCCATTGACCATATTACAGTAATTTAAATCCACCTTTTTGTTAATATCAATATAGTAAATCATACTTCACTTTTAGGTAATTTGAAATTTGTTTTGTGTGTGTGTGTGTGGGGATTTGTGGTGTTTTTGTGCATTTATTCTACAAAGTTTTATAGGGCTTTATTGATGCTCTGTATTTCGGAGCAGCAGCAATAGAGGGCATCTATGATACGTAAAACTACTGTATTTTTTACTTGGCCTAACCATAAAGTTTATATTGTATCTCATACTATATCACTGAATGTCACTTATAATAGTCAAACAATTTCCCTGAAAGTTTGCATCTCTTGAAGACAAAATATTTACGTAAGTGCTGCACGATGGAAAAAAAATAAATGGCAAAGGTTGGTCATTAATATGTCAAGCTTCATCCAACACCGGCATCTTCACTCTATTTACAATTCACCTGATTGTCTTAATCATCAAGTAATGACGACATCATTCCACTATGTGACCTGTATGCTAATTTATACAGAATTATTTTGTAACTTAAATGCCAAAGGCATGTAGGGAATACAAGTCATAATTATATTAGTTAAAGCTGGGCAATATTTAAAGTAAAACAGCCTACATACCAAATATGGCCTATATACAGAATATATATGTCAATAAATACCCATAATGTCATTGCTCTAATTAGGCTTATATAAGCCATAAGGCGTAAATACCCTTAAGGCTTAAATACCCACAAGGCCTATATAACAAGTTGTATACGATGAACTAATGGTAATAAGGCCTAAATACGTGTGAATCCTACATACATATTAGGCCCACGGTATATACTAATGTCATCAATCATATACATATTGTAAGCAATATTTGGGGAATGCTGCACTCACTTCAAATTTACAGCTTCTGCGTTGATTGATGATTCAGTTAGAAGTATCCTGATGCAATTTAAATTCCCATGATACACGGCTGTGTGAAGTGCTACAGAAAGAACAAAAGAGTTTTATAGTAATATTGATACATTTCATTTCCTTTTATGATAGTATTATGATATAATGGATAGTGATGTGTTTATTAACAAGGAAATCTTGAATTGTACTAAACTGTTGATTAAAAGTTTTTAAATATGTTGAACTTTAACAAACTGAAATATTTTATAACTAGTTCATTGCAAAAATTTGATAATTAACTTAGTTCTCCATTATCATATTTTTATGTTGTTTTTCATTCTTTCTGTCTTTTGTATGCATCAAGGTTCTAATTTATTGTGTTGCGATGTATGTTTTTCCCATTTTCTGGAGGTTGTATGAAACAAATTGAATAAACAATATCTATATTTTTAAATAGAAATTCTGAATAACATTGTATACAATTAAATAAAGGAGTTTACCATTATTTCCTTGAAGATCCAGAGCATCTACATTGATGCCATTATCAATGAGTACACTACATAAGCTAGGTTGATCTGCTTCGCAAGCCATATGCAACGATGTCTGCTTATTACTGTTTAGATCATTCACTTGTGCTCCAGCAAGCAACTAAAAAAACAATACGAAAATACTGTGAAGTGCTAAAAATTAGTGGTTTTGATACAGATGAAATAAATAATCAACAATGGTGGCAGGGTACTTCATCCTTAACTTGTCTTATTTTTTGAACATATATATGAACAATTGCTTTTTAGCTTTTTATCATTATCATTATCATTGCAAGTATAAACAGGCCTTTATCAAGGATAAAATCGTTATCGTTATTTTAATCTCTATTACCACAACCATACATCATCATGATTGCCTTTGCAATTGTCTGCATTTCAACAATAACTACCACAATAATCTAAAAAATTTTAATAGTTTATAATAAATTTAATATATTTCAAATGCAAATCATATTTACAACAAAAATGATCCATAAAATGACCATATGAAAGCAAACAGGGACCACTGAACCGGAAAGCCCATATGAACAACTTCATCATAAATGGTATCAAGATAAATAAATAAATATTACGATTAGTACTAAAAATTAGTCAATAAACAATGACGAAAAAGTATAGTTGTACTATCCGTAGATAACAACGCTAACAAATAAGTTATAATTGAATTTTCTTGAAGAAACCATTTAAATTATATATTTGTACTAATAAAAATAACAATGTACTAAAGCCAAGAGAGAATAAGTTTTGTCATCACCTATCATTATCTATCTTTATTAGCATTCTGTTATTACGAACTTTAAAAATTGTCGTCATCTTTGTTACAATCATCTCCATTATTGTCGTTTTGAAGACTGTCATTGTGGTCATCAACATCACATGTACTATTGTTTGTTTGTTTGTAGTATTTAAATACATAAATAGAAAATTTTATAGAAAAAAAATTAAATTTTATAACCACAATTAAATATATTTATTATATTCATAGCATATTACACAATTATTAAATTTACAATTTCATGATATTCATAAAAATTTTGTTTAAAAAAAATTAATTTTAGTAGAAAAATAAATATAAAAAAGAATCATAAGGTAACAAATAAAAAATAATAAATAAATAATTCTAAAAATGCACATGTGGTAATGGCACTGAACAATTATGAAAAATGCATTTTTCACTATTAACTGCCTCTTACTTACCAAATTGCGTACAATGATTTCAGATCCAGCAAGTACCGCCAGTTGTAGTGGAGAGTAAGCAGAATGGTCCTGTACTCGTGAATTCACATTGGCCCGTATGCTGATTAGGAACAACACGCTCTCAATATCAGACTGCTGCACAGCAACGTGCAAGAAATTCCTACCTTTGTTATCAACCTGAAATACAATTGCAATAAATAATGCTAATGGAATTTTTACACCAAACAATTATACTGCTCAATATTATCAATTATATTTTATGTAATATTCTTGTTGACTTTGGGTTTTGCTGGATTGAGTTATGGAGAGATTAATTTTGCTTGACTTGTGTAAGTCAGCAAGTAGAAGAAAATTGTACTTTAAAAGAATCATCTCTGAATTGTATTGTTGCTGCTACTTGCTTTGGTCTCTTCTCCTGCCCATGGCGTATCCAAAGGGGATCATGCTCCCAAAAGAAATTTTTGTTTAGCTTTGCGTCTTACCTGCTCTGCTGCCCTTGGCTCCCTGTCCAATATAGCCTGCGCTGCTTTGTTGTTTTTATGCGTCATTGCTGCTGCAAAGGGTGTCAGTCCAGACTTGTCTCTCAACGTCAGATCCAGCAAGGGGTGCGACATTAGCAGGCCAATGATGATTGGATGCTGGTTGCTGATAGCGATATGAAGAGGGGTCTGGCCATCAGCATCCTATTGAAAAATCATGATTAAAATTTATATTATCAATAACAGTGAAGGACAAAAAGTGTATAGTATTTATCATGATACTAGTACCCTGGAATTGGAAGGAATAAGCTAAAGCTCCAATTCATGTTTATAAACATATGGTGCTTGCCATCCCAAAACCAGCATTAGTGACTAAGACAAGAAAATTGATTTTTAATATATTCATATTCTCCACAGTGTAAGCTTTAAAACGATAGATCATTTACTGGAATCCACTTATTAAAGATCAAACTTACGAGTAGTATTAGACTTCTCTGTATTAAAGTATACATTACTGCCACATTTTTATGCTAATTATTCAGTTTAATATTTAGCAACAGTACAATGGTTTTGGGCTGCCAAGACTCATATGTGGCAAAGACAAGCCAAACCAGTCACTCGTCACAAATCGTGTTTCAGAGAAAATGGCCAAAACATGCTGGAATGTCAAATTTTTTAAAATCTATTTTATTGCACTAAACTAACCTTTATATAACTACACATCATTCTATGTTGTTATTTTCCCCATTTTCAATGTTAAAACAACACTTTTTAAGGATTTAAAGATAGTTTCTGCATGAGAAATGCCTGAAATCATAAACTTTAAAGGCTGATTTCTCATATATTGTTCTTTAAACAGCTGTGTGGTTAAACGCTTGTAACTTCATAAGGAAATGTCCGATTTGAATGATTTTTTTTACCATTTTATAGCTGTTATTTTACTCTCTAACACTGTATTAATAACTCAAAATCGATTTTTGCGACGAGTGACTGGTTTGGCTTGTCTTTGCCACATATATGATTACTGTTTGTGTAACTGACACTGTAAATGTGACAAATCACAAGATTACTTTAGTAGCCACATCAAATAAATAAAGCATCCGTGCTTCAACTCGCTTCTCTATCCTTACCCCTCATCTTCATGCCGTATAAGGCCATTCAAAGAAGTCTAATTCAAGGTAGAATGTAATAACAAGAAAGCAATTTGATTATAAAGCCTACATGAAAAGATTAACTTTGATTACCTTAGCATTAACATCGACTTGGAACTCGACCAAGCATTGAACAACTTCTTCAAGACCCCACTGACAGGCTTGATGAAGAGGTCCCTGGCCATCTGCACACACGTCAGCCCCTTCACCATTGGGACCAGGTCTGCGTGGACTATTCACATCACACTGACTGCAGGGTAAAAGCACAATAATTCATTATTCTTCAAAAATAACTTCCAGTACATTTTCTCTCCTGAAATTATTTATATAATTCTTTTTCAAATCTCCAATAAAGTTTTGACAACCTGCCTCAGAATAAATTGTTTATTGTTTGTAAAGCATGTCTATGTAATGACAGAAAATAACCATCCACCAATGTGTATATATTTTATAACAAAATCATAAAACTTTCAGTACACCATGTGTAAAAAATGGTTTTTGAGAAAAAAAAACCACTGGTTGGATTTCCATTCTTCTGATGACGGTCAGAGCAATCTCACCGAAACGTTGAGACAACCAACCAGTGGCTTTACCTCAAAAACCATATTTTTACACATGTTGCACCACAAGTTTTGATTTTGTTATTGATACTCGCCACGCAATCCTTCAAGAAATATATTTATATATTTTATGTTATTTACCCAGTGAAAAAGTTGATAAATAATAATAATAATAAATATTACCTCCTAATTAGGAAACAGGCAACTGCTTCATTGTTTTCATCAATAGCTCTGTGTAGGAGTGTCTGCTGACAGCCTTCTGGGCCTTTTCCCCAACTTGTTGTATCGCAGCCATGACGAACCTGAAATGATACAATACTTAACCAGTGATATAAAGGACTATTTCTTGAAAGGATTCTTTTAAGCATTAAGAAACTAAGAAAGGTCAAATGACTAACTCATGAATATGCTTATGTATTTGTACTATGCATTTGCAATAAACTAAAAATAGGCTCGTGATGAAAGCATTAGTATACTGCAGAAAATTGGTCAAACAACACGTTGTACTTTGGCATGTGTGTCACATGAAATGAACTGAAATGAAACTTAACACGCTCCATTTTACACAAAATTTATGTGTATATAGTATACTCAAAAACTGAAACTTCAGAATTCAAAATGTGCATTTTAAAACTCTCTTAATTGGGCACAATGAGAAACCACATAAGAACTGGCCTACCAGAGTTGATGCGACATCTTCCTGACCCGTCTCCAATGCCATCCACAAGGGAGGGTTGCCATCATCATCAGGTGTGTTCATATTTGCCCCTCTTACACACAATGCATCAACTACAACTGGTAGATGCCTCCTGATGGCCAATTGAAGAGGTGTTTCACCAGCTTTAGTTCTGCAAAGAACACATCAGAAATGAATTCACCTGAAAAGTGCACTGTGTGCATAAAACCTTCTGTTCAACAAAAGTACACATGAGTCCCTGTGTCAGTACTGTTTATATTTGACAGGTTAAGCATATACTTAACATGTAGACTGCAATGGTGAGGAAGTTTATCCTCTTGCCAATCGAGGTACAAGGTTTCTAGTAGGAAATTTTGTTCAAACTACTATAAAGGAACTGAGGGAAACTTGCCACTAAAGCAGCCTTTGACCACCTTTGTGCTTAGGAATGCTTCAATTTTCAGAGTGGCTCAAAGTTGGAGAAGTTTGTAACCATAAAAGTAGGCAGCAGGTGTAGTTTCACTTGCTTGTGGTAGCTTTGCCTTTTTTTTCTTGTTTTCCTCTTCCTGATGTTTTTGTTTCATAGCATTGAAAGATATGTTTTTCAATATGTGATAATGTAAAAATATGACAGACTCATAGAATGGCATTTTAAAGTTTATAAATTTAGATACCAACAAATATTTTAGATTTAAATTTTCTACCAAATGGCAGTTGAGTACTTGTTTTGCTTACTTGGATGCCAGAATATTAAATGTACAAACTGGTTATGTTTACAGGAATACATTACCTTGCAAAGGATACATTTTTTATTGTTTCTAAATAGACAAGATATTATAATGAGATTTGATGACATGTGGTTTATATCAAAGATATACAATATTACAAAAAATTAGCAGAGACAAATGAATTTGTGTTAAAATATCACAAAAACACAGCTTACTTAATATTTAGCTTAGCTTGATGCTCCAACAGGAAGAGGGCGCTCTTTGTATCTTGTTGTAAAATAGCTGAGTGGAGCAATGTTGTACCCTCAGAGGTTATGTGATTAATGCTAGCACCGCCCCCTAGGAGTTGAGCAGCAAAGTTATGAAGGCCTGTCCACAAGGCCAATCCAAGCACTGTTTGTTCATTACTGTCATAAATATTAAAATCTGGGATGATTAACAAACCATCTTGCGAGTCCATTGCTGCAGCTGTATAGATTATATGAATAAAATAAATATTTAAACAAAAATGAAAATGCAGTTTTTTTGAACATGAACATGGTTTTGGGTGTTCACAAATGAAAAAAAAAGACATTGGATAAAAGTAACTCGGGATTCTTGTGTAATAGTGGTTTTTGTTTTGAACTCCAACCCTAATCCTTATGCTACAAAAAGATCAGTATCTTGCAAAGTATTTTAAATGGCTTTATTATCTGTAGGACTTCCAATAATGTTTATAATTACTGTATCACACCTACAGTATAATAGCATCATAATTGTCTATATTTAACACATGCACATCAGATCAAAATAATACAGTAGTACTTTGCAACGTTACCTCTATGCTCCAGGAAAACATTAACAACATCTGCATGTTGATATGTGATGGCCATGTGAAGAGGAGTTTGCTTAGAAGCATGTAGCAGGTCAGAGCGATCTCCTTCAAGGCTCAGGCCCTCCACCCTGGATGAGACATCTTCTAGAGTCTGTGCATTGGGGTTAGCACCCTTTTTAAGTAGTAGAGCAGCTAGGTTTGAGAGGCCTTGCTTAGAAGCTATATGTAATGGTACTTCACCCTACAAGTAAACACAAGACAAAATTAAATTAAAAAGTTTTAAATTAAATTATTTGTTAATATTAGTCATACAATTATTCATTATCAGATATTTTATTTTATTTTTGGTATTTATTTCACATCCAGAAGCAAGTACACTAAACATACTAGCCAATTACAGGATGGAAAGATGCACTATAAAATAAATCCTTCTTTTGGAGCTTAGGGAGCAAAGTTGGTTTTATTCATTGAAATATAAAATTAGTTTATTTCAATACTGTTTTCATGTGTATGGAGAAACAATAAAACAAAAACAAAAAAAAAATGCTTTCAAGGATTTAAATCCATGACATTATAAGGCAATCATCTCACCAACTTGGCTACATTACATCACTTTATTAATATTTTGATATAAGTATGAATTTGAATAGACTTTTCTGACCTGGTTATTGGCAATACTGGAGGAAGCTCCATGAGTGGCAAGAAACAAGCAAGCTGCCTCGTTCTTGGCTTGTGCAGCAAGATGGAGTAGCGTGCTACCTGAAAAAAAAACACCAACAATCAATATAGAGATATTACACTGGTTTAGTTAAGGGTATATCAATAAATAGGCTCCACGCGGGAGCATGTGTCTACTGCCTTGACATGTTTTTTTTTTTGGCTAATTTTAACTCATCCATGCATTCTGTGTTGTCAATTCACTTAAATAACTACCTGTACTAATACACCAGATTGTTTGAGAGGTCTTACCTAGCAGCTTTCTGTGTTAGCAATTCAATTGATAAGTTACTGTAACTATAACAGGTCTTATCTAGCATGGCATAACATTCCATAACTTGCTTTTCATTTTTATCATGACGTAACCCATTATTCCTCCACCGGATTTACTCTTACAGGATTACTCTTACAAGAACAACTGCCAGACGACAACATAGTGTCAACTACCCCCAGGGGCAGTAGACATAAAAACTATATAAAACATAAATAGGAAAAACTTAAATTTTAAGGTTTATAAATCTTGCTTGATTTAAAACACAAATTTAAGAATTCTGGGTAATAATAAAAAATTAACATAATCACTCTTTTTGGCTATTAGTAGCTCAATCACAGACATAGCAGCAGGAATAATTGAGGGAGAAGGGGAACCAAAAGCCTGAACATTTAGTATGAGAGGCATTTCTACTGATTTTATCACTTTCCCCCACTTGTTTGTAGCATATTATTGAATTTTCTTTTTAAAATACGCTTCAAACTACTGCAAAAGGTACAGGTAGGACTTTTAAACTAATGCTAACTTTTAAACTAGGTAGATAGACAGATGATAGTAGAATGTTGTTTTCATTGCGCACCTGTACTTGGGTTGACTGCATCAGGGCTGCAACCCCTTGTTATCAGCTTTCCAGCAAAACTATCTTCTCCATAATCATCTGAAGTATCCAACGCTAACCACAATGGTGTCTCTCCTTGAACATTTCGTAAATCTAAATTGAGTCTGTAAAAATAATTAAATCATTACACTTAAGCTGTGTTCATATTATATTAACTTTTGACCCAGACAAAAGGTAACTTGAAATTGGTGAAAAAAGCGTAACTCTATTTAAACTTGAATGTTTATTTTTAAATATTTAAACTCACTTTTTACTTTAACTCTTTTTTCTCCATTTCTTTTGAAAATTCATAGACAAAATTCATGTAATGCTGACCTATTCTATGTGCCTATAGCCAAGTCATTGCTACCCAATACGGTTTTATTCATGGACTCTCCTATCACTATAAATCTATTACATGTAATGATACCACTATTGGCTTATTTTTTTAACACTATTTCCATAATAAAAATCCAAAGTTAGTCATTCAATATAGGCCTTCTTTCAATTAAACAAGGAAAGATGTTTTTGCTTGGTTACCTTTGTTTTATATTGTATGTTAACCTTGTGATTTACTATTTATTTATACTGTATATTATATGTGTTTTTTATTAAGACATCCTGTAATGTGTGCTTCCACTGTAGCATGTAGTTAAAATAAACTAAACTATGCAGTGGTTTTTACCAATATGGCTCACAACACATAGTGGGATTTTGGGCATCAGGATCAGTCTAATTGTAGATAAATTCTGGAAAAAGTGCAGCAATACACAATAGCAATTTGATCTAGTAGACACCAGTGCAAACAACCTTGGTGGCCATATATTTTATAAAGAAATATTTTGTGATTATTAAGCCCTGTTTACATTGTAATTTGTTTGACCCAAAAAATTACAATGTGAACATGGCTTTATATTAATGGAAAAAAAATTGTAAAAAAAAAAAGAATATTTTGTATTTACATTATTTCTAAATAAATAATGTAAATACAAAAGAATATTTTGTATTTACATTATTTATTTAGAAATAATGTAAATACAAAATATTCTTTTGTATTTACATTATTTCTAAATAAATAATGTAAATACAAAATATTCTTTTGTATTCACATTATTTCTAAATAAATAATGTAAATACAAAAGAATATTTTGTATTTACATTATTTATTTAGAAAACATCCAAAATATGGTCATCTGTAACTTTGCAATATTAATGATGGAAATTATTACCACTACAAAAAACAGTGTTAGTTCCAGAATGCTTTACTTCCAATAACAAGTTTAAACAGCATATTTGCAAGACTTATTATGTATACATAATTCATTAAAAAGCCTCAAAATATGGTCATCTGTTAAGAAAACATTTCCACTTGAATGTATTTCCATTTGTTACTTGAAATCATAATAATTTAATAATTAAGAACATATTTTTACTGGTATGGTAACACATTTATTTAAATTTTTGGGAAAAAGGAAATTAAAAATTCTCTTATCAGGGCATGGCACTAACTCATATCAGGACAGGGTACATGTAATGTAGCATTAAAAAACATGTATTCTTCAGTGATTTTTGGTATTTCTTTATCTTTACCATTACTCTGACAGTGACAATTAATTATAGAATTATAAGAAGCATAATAAAGATTGTTTGATAAAACAAGCTCATAACAGACATTGAAAACAATGAAACTGACCGTGTAATGAAAATTCATTGATAATATTTTTTCTTTGAGATGCGGTATATGGAATCAAGAATTGATTAATTTGAAATTTGTAAAGTTGTGAATACAATGTACTTTTATACTACAGAACATTTGTTCGCTGACACAATAAGAAGTTGGAATCTACTAATGATAATGAAGGAAGTATCATTAGATAGAAAATAAAATTTCAAAACAGCAAGTTTAACTTACTGTCTGTTTGATAGTAATAAATTAAACACATCTTTGTTCTTTGACGTAATGCTCCGATGAAGTGCCGAGCTGAAATATTAAGTAAACAAAGAAAATTGAACTTTCAGTACTAACCCTTATACAAGAACAATGAACTCCATCAATTTCATATCTGACAAAATGTTTGATATAATGTTTAATTGCATGTTCAATTAATATCACATGTTTACATTTAAGGTGACAGTATGCAAATGGTATCTTGTCTCCCAAAAGGCATTTGTAAATTGAGAACAAAAATTACCAAACAACTTGTTTTTTGTCAGTGAAATAACGCCTATGCGCTCTTGTGCGGTGGTTAGCAGGGCCCCAACTCCTAGGGGCTTTGGCCCCTGCCCACAGGGTCCTCGATCTAGCACCCTGAACCAAAATAGCTTTGTTGCTACATAACAGAATAATGTGTCTCCGACATCAACTGTAGGGCATATTATCATATTATATTCAGTGACAAATTAAGGGACCTGGGTTTGCCAAATTTGTGAAAACAATAAAGATAAAAAGAGAATGATATTAAAATTTTAAGTCTGTGAGTGCCATTTCCAGCCATCTAGAGGTTCCATAATCATAAAATTTCTGAGGTGGTACAATTTCAAATTCCTATTACTAGATCCGTCAATGATATCATATTTTCGTCATTAAAAACATTTATAATATATTAAATGGCAAGCCTCAGGAAATCACAGGGCCAATGGCCCTAGTGTTACGCCACTGTTAATCGTGCAATGCAAAAGAAATGAGGACTGACTTATAATGAAAATCAGGTTTAAATTAGGTCACTCATGTTGTTTTTCAGTGACCGGAATTTGGGCTCTATAGGTTGGATGTACGAGTCAGCCCTTAGTGGCCATATGGGTCCGTTAGAGGTCTTTTGGAGTCAGGGACGACTTTCACAAATGGAGGACCCTCTATACCACCTCAGACTCACCACGGTTGGGGCAATAGTAAAAAAAAAAAATTGATTATAGCCGGAAATGTCACTCTCAGACTTAAATTTGAATATCATTTACTTCTTTTCTCTATTTTTTTTTTATAATTTTGAAAAATTCAGTTGGAGCCTCTCACCGCTGGGCCCCCTTGAATCCGCTACTAATTAAGTTTGTGTCCTAGTAAGTCAAAAGCGGATGAATAAGAGGGAAGTAGTTGACTGATTGAAGTGAAGTGATCTGGATTTGGGCTTATCCAAAAATCAAAATTTAAATTCTATGCCGTTATATTTTCTGTTCTTTGAGCAAGGGACTAATCTATGCTATTTCACATCAACTTCTCCTAAAGCATAAATGTATACGTTGCCTGGGTTGAATGTTAAACCATGGAGGTATTATTGAGAAGGAGATCACTCGCGACTTTCACAAATGGAGGACCCTCTATACCACCTCAGACTCACCACGGTTGGGGCAATAGTAAAAAAAAAAAAATGATTATAGCCGGAAATGTCACTCTCAGACTTAAATTTGAATATCATTTACTTCTTTTCTCTATTTTTTTTTTATAATTTTGAAAAATTCAGTTGGAGCCTCTCACCGCTGGGCCCCCTTGAATCCGCTACTAATTAAGTTTGTGTCCTAGTAAGTCAAAAGCGGATGAATAAGAGGGAAGTGGTTGACTGATTGAAGTGAAGTGATCTGGATTTGGGCTTATAAAAAAATCAAAATTTAAATTCTATGCTGTTATATTTTCTGTTCTTTGAGCAAGGGACTAATCTATGCTATTTCACATCAACTTCTCCTAAAGCATAAATGTATACGTTGCCTGGGTTGAATGTTAAACTATGGAATGAAAGTGGATTTTACTGTATCACATACAAAACAAGCCATTCTTTTCCAGAGGGCAGAAATGCGTGCATTTCTGTTTCAGATTTGGTTATGGTATGCAAATTTAAGATAAGGTTTACCTATTTAAAAATTCTCTAAAAAAAGACAACAATTTGCATTACATGACATGTTCAATCAATCATTCAATCAATCAATCAATCAATCAATATCAATTAAGCAAGCAAGCAATAAAAGCAGAGAACAAAAAGGAATGGTCATCATCACATACTTATCTGAGCTGTGGTGTTGCATTAGGATGAGTGAGTAGGATGGACAGTAGCTTGATTACTGACAATTGCAGAAGTATGTTCACACTATTAGAATTTCTGTGAAAAACTGCAATTAGCCCATATATGGGCATGACAGTGTTTTTCACACCCATATATGGATATGCAGACAACTATTATTTCTGTTTCCTTTACTCAATAGCAGCAGCAGCAGCTTTACTTCACACTTTCCAATACATAATAAAATAATATCACACCCATATATAAGCAACCCACATATTTGCCAGAAAAAAAATGATAGTGTGGACAGCGTGTAAGAGTTGAAATGAAAGTTAAATTGAAAAAACAATCTTGAATTTTAGTGCATGGTTGAAGAAGTCTTTTTAGAGGTATGTGATATGGGCATGAACGACAAGTTTCAGTAAGAATAAATTGTTCCACTTACTTTCCTAGCTTATCTTGTAAATTGATGTGACACCCCTTCTCCAGAAGAAGTGTTGCCACATTCAGCATACCAGCCAACACCTCACTCACTGTTAAACTAGGATTGTATGACGACACAACATGAAGAGGTGTTTCTAACTCCAGCTGACTCACTATATTCAACTTAGCACCGTTTTGAATAAGGAAAGTAGCTGAAAATTCATCTCCTAAAAAAATATATGAATCAAGATACCATGATTAATTTTAAGTGTAATAAATCAGGTTTTGGACAGAATGTTCAACCATGCTGTAGTGAGGTCAGCCATATCTATCATGTAATGTTTCATGGTATAATATTTCTATAAAATGGGAACTTGAAAGGTGACATTTTGACTTGAATATGTTTCCAAGTCAAGGGTGTCAATTATAGAATATTTTTCTTACACAGGGCCGACCTGTGCACTCATATGTAAGCTTGACTGTAGACCTACCTCTTGTCAGTGCTTTATGAAGTAAACAGCAACCTTTACTGTCCATTCTGTTAACATTTACTTTGTGTTTGATGAGTTCAGATGCAACACTCTCCTGTTTACTGGACAATGCTAAGTCTAACGGAAGATCGCCATTCTCATCAACTTCATCAAGCTTGTCAGGCAGCTAAGAAAAATATTAAAATTGAATTAATGTCATAACTTAATACAGGTTTACCTCAAATTAAAAACCACTTTTGGGACTGGGGTTTCTATGGTCTTTAGCAGCTTTGGTCTCTAATTAGAATAATAAATATAAAAGACATTTTCTAATTTTGGATCACAGAGAAGTAGTATTTAATTGGAGGTGGTCATTAAATAGAGGGGTCTCTAATTCGCTTATACAGGATATTATACAAGGCTCATAGATAATAGATGAAGATGTTGGACAAGAGAGAAGCAGAATTAGATTTTGATGACAATTACGGATACATTTAAATAATGGTAATATTAAAACTCCTACCAAAGCATCAAACTCTATGAGATAGAGGAAGACTACATCTTCTCTGCGATGTCTAATAGCTGTGTGCAGCGGGAACGTGGTCTTGGCTTTGAACATCTTGTACAACAGAGGTGCTGTCATGCTCACAAAATCATCACTTGTGAAATCATTCTGAAATAGAACATAGGAAAGATATTAATAATAATTTGAGAAGTTCACCTCTAGCTATAGTGGTTATGATGATGATGTGTAGAGTTGATGATTAGGCCTAAAAAAATAAATTGTTTATTTGAACTTTAATGCTGAAAATTGTATAGGAGGGGCAGGCACAAAGAAGTTTTTTTCTCCTGTCACCAAAATTAACATATTAAATCGCAATGTATGCAATTACGCATGTCTCACTATTTGTTTTTCAAAGGGTATTCATTAGACTGAATAAAAATATCCAATAACTGATATTTTGCAATGAATTTAGGCCTTACATCAGAAACCAAATTTCGACAACTTTCATGTGAAGAATAGAGAAAAATAAGGATCACTTTTTAAATTTGTGAACAAAAAATAGAAAAAAAATTTTTTTTTTAAAACGCCGCCCCTATTTTTCTGTGAGCTAGAGGGCAAACAATTTTTTTAGGCCTTATAATGATGATATGGTAATGATGATGATGATACTGATGACAACAGTGATGATAATTTGAGAATTTCACCTTTAACTTAGTGACTGATGATGATGATGATAATGGTAATGATGATGATACCAATAATAGTGGACTTGACATAATGACAATAAAGTTGATAATGATGGGATGATAATGCTGATGACGACGACAACTAGGATGATGATAAGCACAACCATAGAGATGAAATACCTTCATGGCACAACTTATTGTATGCTATAACAGCGTATGTCTGCATGTAAAGATCTCCACTCACCCAATGATTAGATATAAGCTCAGAGCAATATGTTTTCAATGATGAAGCACCAATTTGTTCTGCTGTCTGGTAGAAACGAATACAATTACGCACAGTTACTGATGACATCAGAGCTTTTTCACACCTAAAAAAACAAGGGTACAATAAAAAACAAGGTTATGAAACAAATTAGCTTATCTGATGACAAGCGGTAATAATATACTACATTAGGTAAAGATGGTTTAAGTACAGTACAGAACACGAGCAGCAAGTATCAAGTTCAATTCTTCTTAAAAAGAGATCACTTTGGTATATACACGAAGGCCTTAATACAAAAACATTTATATATATTTAGCGTGCCAAATTTGGTAGAGAGCGGCATAAATGAGCAAACTGTGGAAGGTGGATACGGGCAAAATCAGCATGTACTGAATCTGTCTCTTATACACATCTAGATGTGTATAAGAGACAGGGGCCGACCTGTGCACTCATATGTAAGCTTGACTGTAGACCTACCTCTTGTCAGTGCTTTATGAAGTAAACAGCAACCTTTACTGTCCATTCTGTTAACATTTACTTTGTGTTTGATGAGTTCAGATGCAACACTCTCCTGTTTACTGGACAATGCTAAGTCTAACGGAAGATCGCCATTCTCATCAACTTTTAAACTATTTTGTATATGATTTGAAGGACGTGTGATTATACTTTTTAGTATAAAACAAAAATATAAAAGCATAAAACTAGCATATAATAAGTTTTAGTTTCACATCGCAGAAAATAGTGCAGATGATTGTTCTGTTGGCGTCAATATTTTTTAAAAGTTTCAATAACCACAACTAGTTTGTTAACATGTACTCAACCGCAACCTACTGGTATATCATTTCTAATCCGCTGGATTACAGGTCATGAAGCAGCTTACAGTAGTATTCTTTAAATTAATTAAAGGCTGAGATCATTATTACAGGTATATCCTTTAAAGCTAAGCAAACTTTTAAATAAATGGAATTTGCTTTTAATTCTTAATGCAACTGCTTAGCCTAAAAACAAGCAACCTTTCCACAGAAACATTAAAGGTGGAGTAATAGTGGCAGACAAACTCCTACTTCTAAAATCTCAATACAAATAGAACTAGAGCAGTGACTTCATAGAGTGCATACCTTCACCCTATAACTGAATACAGTACCAACAATATGCAGGCTGTGTATAATGGGCGAAAGTGCAGCATACCCTCAATGAAATATGGAATTGCCAGTCGTATTCAGGCACATTATTTTTCTTAGTGCTGCAGAATACCCTTAATAAAATAATGGAATCGTCTGTTGTATTTCAACACATTGTTTTCTTGAGTGCTACCTGAATACATGGGCCGATTCCATTATTTTCTTTTATACTCAAGAGTAAAAATTTGAATTTCCATGACCCTGACCTTGTCATTTCTTCAATTATTATGTACCATTCCACTAAATGTTATGATGATCCATTCATTAGTTTTTGCATTTAAAATCTTGCTGACAGAAAGAAAGACAGCAGTGAATACATAACATCCTTGACGGAGATAATTGAATGGTGAGAACCAGACACATTATCATTAGATCAGATGGAAGTATGAAATATGAAGTTCATATGTGATTTGACACTTAAGATTTTTAAGTAAAAAGATAATTTAAAATTTACCGATCTCTTAGGACATCCAGTTCATAGGTGCTTGCTGCACTCATCAGCTGGAGTATGAAGCTATCGTCAGACTGTAACTCAACCTGGTCAGTATACACCCACTTCAATAATGTCATTGCAACATCATAAGGAATGCCTACAATTTAATCATACAAAATCGTAAACACATTAACGCAATCACAAAATAAAAAATTGCAATATGTCTTATTAAAAACCAACTCTGATGCTATGAAAACCTATGTTTTCTTAGATTGAATCAATGGTTTTACAGAGAATTATCAGGCCTGAGTTTTTCTTCAAACACCCTTTCGGTGTCTTTAAAAATTCATTTGGTCAACATATTAAAAGAATTTCTTCCAGAGCCTGCATTTAATTTTCAAACAAGTATACACTTTAATAAAATGTTAAAATACAATTTATGGAAATAGCAATGAAGTTAAGATAAACCACTAAATATAAAATTACTTAATTAAAGAAAAAAAAATCACCAGTAAAATCTAAAGATTGCACATCAGCTAGGTCTGCCACACCCCAATTGTTGCTCCGTGCTCCAAGAACAAAACGATGAGCCTTTACCTCTTTTCCATCTACTGCAATTGTTAAATCACTAAATAAAACGGGGAAAAAAAAGATCTTCCCAATGTACTTTATTTTTTAAGGACGATATTGTTTCAAGTACACCAATGTCAAAGTTCAAGGCAGATAACAAACACATTTACAGCATATGTACCATCTGACTTTCAGTGTCTTATATAGGTTACAGTATTGTATTTGGCTAGCAAAAACGAAATATAAAGTAAAATATATACATATACAAAATCCTAATGCTGATATCTTCAAACCCAATGCTTCTTGCTGTTCACTGTTCAAAAAACCGTGGTGAGAAGTTACCATTCTGTAGCAGCCAATATATGTACCGTAAAACGTCTAATAATAACCCTGGTTACTATTCCTTGTTTTTAAGGTGGGTTACTATTAGAGTATGAGTTACTATTAGAGTATGGATTAGCAAAGTGGGTTACTATTAGAGTATGGGTTAATCTTAGAGTAGTGGGTTACTATTACTAAGTTTATTGTTGGCACTTGAATATACCCATACCCACCCCTATTAATTCATAGAAATATTAAAATACTGTAACTACAGTACAAGTAAAAAACCTTCTTGATTTAATTTTATTTATAAACTCAAAAACACCAAATAGTAAATTCAAAAAAAAATTGTCAACAGCGCAATTACATTGTGAAGAATGCCAATTTTAAGGAATAAATTGTGTTAGAGTGACAAAAATATTGATTTGAATTTTGTATATAGTTTTAGTGACTCTAATAATAACTCCATGGGTGTTATTAGTAGTGGGTTATTATTTGTGTTATTAAGAAGTGGCGTTATTATTAGAAGTTTTACAGTAACTCTTTCTGATAATGTGAGGTTTGATGATTTTTTTCATGCCATATTCTTGAGGATACCTTGAGTTGAACACAATGATTGATGCATGTCAATTTTTGTTTAGCTGTTTTATACACTGAATGAGATTCATTCAGTTGGCAAGTATTGCTCCTACGTTTACTATAATTATCATCTAATTTCTAGAAACATTAGTGACCTTCACTTGGATGATAAGGTGCTACGTAAACTAACATTATTCATGAATAAAACATTAAAAAATATTCACTGATGAAATGCAATTAATTAAAATTACTCAATCTGGTAAACATAACTATTACTATAGTGATTACATCTTGCATTTTAAATTTAAAGACTCTTTTACATATGGCAATGGTAACATGTGGTACTGGCCTACAGCCTCTTGCGTGTGGGCATTTCATGAGTGTGTGTAGGTGTGCACTGGCATGTGCTAATTGTTTCTTTGTTTATGTCCATGAATTTCTGATAGTTATTATTCCATTAAGGTAGAAAAAATGAATGAATAGCATAAGATGCCATTCCAAGCATGATGGCTTTTTTTCCTTAACTGTCTTTTCTCTATTCTATTTATTGCATCTCATCAAGAACATCACAAAACAGAAAATTAAACACAAGAAAACAAATCCAATTCTATTCTTTCAGGCCATTCACAATGCTTGCATTATTATTATCAACGATCTTGCATTTAAAATTAAGTTACAAAAACTAATAAAGACAGGGCACTAAATAAATGGAAACATGTTATAACATGTATTGAAACGCTACACAACATAAGTAAAAAAAAAAAAAGTTTCTTGTCCTAATATTTTGAAAAAAAAAAGAGAATGAGGGCAGCATTTTTTTTCACTCTGAAATGGCAAATCCCAGATGGTCGATAGGAAACAGCTACTACTTTCTCACTTTTACCAAGTAGACACATTGAAAGAAAATAAAAGAAGCAGTAAACATGTATATGTATCCCCAACCACGAACGATCGAGAGAGGGAGTTTGCTGATGTGAGTTAGCCAGAATTTTGTACATTAAATAAAATAATGGAAATTTAAAAAAAATAATAAATAATTGGTGAGGGTGGGAAAATGGATGCGCGAGGAGACGAGAAACTAGTTTTTTTTTTTATTTGGCCTAAAGCATACTGTACTGTTATAAGCAAAATGACAACTTGATGTGTCATGTGAAAGATGAATATATTTAATATACTGCCTTTTTGTACCATCATGTAACAGAAAGGTGGGTTTAACAAATGAAACTTAAGTATTGGTTATTATTATTTGTTATGAAAACTGTAAATAATATGAATCGAATAGTTTGAATATTTTGATAAAAAAATGACTTATCTGCCACAAAGAAAAAAAAATGGTTGCAAAATAATTATAACTCCATGCATTAATAAATGAATTCTCAGTAAGGTTTTACTCAGCATGTGTCATATGTCCTTGACTTATCGAGCTGTGATGAGGAAAAATCCTAATGACATTAAGTTACCATGATGTGTAATGAGTACAATCTAGTAAGTCATTGGTATGACATTTTTAGAAAAGCTCAGCTCTGTCAGCTAAACTGATTGTAGCCACTGGTTATATATGGATCTCCATGGTTTAGGCGAGACTTTTTATACCTTGTTTATCAAACCCGCTGCCCGACAATAATGATGATTTCGAATAAAATAAAATTTTATTTTTGGACAATTAGCGAACCTGCTGCCATGGAAATTTCAGAAAAAAAAAAAGTTTTTCTATATTTTTATTATAGCCACCACTGCCTTGAAATCTCCAAAAATAAGATATGTATATTTCTTCATACTGTAATTAAATATAAATTTGAAGCATTTAACTATCCCACTACTGTACTACACTGACATGAAGGTTTGCTGAGCTAGAGAGGATGAGGTCCATAGAGAAAGCTGGAAAAGAATAGTGTGACCCCACCTTTAAGTGGGAGCAGCTAGAAGAAGATTACTACACTGTTTACATTCACCAATTAAATTGTATTTTTATTTTTTCTTCTGACTGGATGTTTTTGGCAACTTTTGCTAAATAAAAAACTAAAATTTTATTTTTTTTTTCCACCCTCCTCTGACGATCTTTAATAAGTTCGCAAAACAACAAGGTATCAAAAAAAATCTTGCCATAGTGCACACCAAGTGTGTATTGAACTGAGAAGCTCATTAGATAACCTTGGATTCTGGTTTTATTCCCTTGCTACTTATCTTGTGTTTCAGCTGGAGTGTTGAATAGCAAGTTCTTATAAATATGTTATTAATCAGAAATTTAAAGCTGTTGGTCACAGGTGCACTACTGTATATTGAATCAGTATATAGCATAGGGAATTAGCTATCAATGTACTGCTCTATTTGCCACTAGAATTACCCATAAAAGGTACACAGACAGAGATGGTCAGCATTGGCAGATATTAAGTGAATACAGGAATAAGGGAGTAGGAGTATTATAGGTGTGAATCACACCAAGGATTACCCACTAAGCCCTAAAACTTTTTCCTAATTCCAGTGTGGTCCTTCTGGTGGTGAATTAGGCAGTACACCTAGAGACAATCCCCTACTCTATTCCAAAGAGTGCATATGGGCCATATTGCACAATGGACCAATGGCTTAAATGCCTCATCTGAAAGACGGTGCTATCTAACTTGTATTTCAGCCCTCTAGCTGAAACACAAGGAGAGCAGATGAAATTGAACCGGGGACCAAAGAATTTCCACGGTTCAGCGCACATGCAATTATAGGTACCACTACTTTAGCCAATTAAGACAGTATAATATCAATGTTTCCTTTTTTCATCAGGGGTATGTGTGTGGAAAAAGCTTCCTCCATTAATAAATTCTTAAAAATTATTACATGTATGATTATTTTGAGTGCTCTGGATTCTCAGTGTCTAGATGCAATATCGCTCAGTGTCAGGATTTTATCACCCAGTTTAAAGCTTCTTCAGCAATTGCTTTTATCCTTATCTGTAGGTTTAGATAATTACTTAACATTAAGTGCTTTTATGTAAGTAAGCAGACTGGATGATATTGATGCAAATTGCAATGAAATTAATGTTAAATGCTTATTAATGGCATTGAGCACTTAAGTTCTTATTCTTATTATCATATTTATTATTCTGCACATTTTTTGATAATTATTATCTTGCATGAGGCCGTAGTTAGCATCAGTTAGTCACTTTTTAGTTAAATTTATCAAAAAATAGGGGACCACCCAAAAATATGCGCTTTTAATCCATATCATTGTGCAACTTTTGATACCTGTAGAAATTCCGAGCCACTATCTTTTAATTATCATTTAACACTTTTGGTACCTTAATCACTGTCTCTTATACACATCTAGATGTGTATAAGAGACAGCTTTTTATACCTTGTTTAGTGAACCCTCCGGCCACCTATAATGTTGGGAAATTTCAGGTACACTCTCAGCTCCCCTGAAATCTCCAAAAATCAGATATATTTGTGACAACATTGGTAAACTCTAAATAATAAGAGTGGATTTTAAGGATAGAAAAAGTGGGTTATTAATGGTGGGTTGAGGGCCATGAAAATTAGCTTTAGGCTGGGTGGAAAACATCAAAGCTGGGTGCCCCTACCCACTTTCAACAACCATAACTACATCCCTGTCATTAATCACAGACAATAAGTAACAAACATTTAAAAAAAATTAAGGTTTGTGGATTTGGAAAACTCCCAAAAATCCTGTCTTGTAGGTGATTTGTCTTTGGATATCAAGAAGCATTAAGGGAGTTGGTTTGTACTATTAAGTTCATACTGTATAGTGAATAAATTAAAACTGAACTTGTTACTAAAGCAGATGCTAAATAATATTTACCTATATAAATCTTTATCAAAGAGATCTGCTACAGTGCGTAGTAATCTTGAAATGAAGTTGTCATCGTCAGGCCCAGCAGCACCTGCAGTGACTATGTTGTATTTCTTTTCAACTTCAGCCAATCGCTGTTGAAGTTTAACATACTCCTGTCTTAACAGGTCCAAATGCTTCTTAAGTTTATCAGCTTCTGTTGTTAAGTAAATAATATACAAGAATAATTAATCTTAAATAGAGGTACAGGCACATATATAAAGTCTAAAATACTGTAGGCCTAACGTTTGCAGTGAAAAAAGAATAAGAATGATTGCAGAAACTGAAAAAATAAAGGAAAATTAAGATAGTTTACCACAAAAACGTAGGCTAATTTTGCATGGAAATATAAACGCCACACAACAAGAGATAAGGCAAGATTGTGTGTAATCATTATCACAGCCTTTATACTTACCACTTCCACATTACATTAAATTATTAATCTTTGCTTACTAGGGTAGGGCGCTGCCAACGTTTTAGATAGGAAACATTGAAAGGGGTCTATTGCAATGAAAGCGCAGGATTGGTCATTTTGAGGTTTTGCACTGCTATTGATAGTAGAGAGGTTTCACCAAGGGGAACATAATGGTCACTGATTATGATTATGGGCGTGTTTCTACTGATAAACACAAAATAATTGATTTTTTTAACCGATTTCAGATTTTTTAATGAGTGGCCAAACAGCCTGCCCACGTTGCAACTGAATTTTTGCTTTTAAGAAAGTCTGTTTTCGCAGCAGAAATTATGTCACCATTTTGTTTATACAACACGTCTTCCAAACTGTATAGTTTCCTTTTCCTCACCAACAAGACAATATATTTCATGTCAATTCCGGGCATGATGATGAGAAGGATACGGTGTGTGACGAGAAAGCGAATGCTTCCAGATGTGCTCATCAGCACAATAAACGAGTTAACGAAAGGCCAAGAAGAGCGGAGAGACCTAGGTCCAATATCTCCCCACCCCACAAAATTATTACAAAAAGATAAATTTTATCGCTCCACATATTTGTTGATATTTTAGCTTGTAGGACATGAGCAAAAGGACCAATCATTTTGAAAGTTCGCGTGTAATACCATCTAGCTTTGCAGTAGTTTGACCTAGAGGTCACCAAATAATCGCTTTTTGTGTTGCAGCTATTATCTCAACCATGTTTTACTTTAAATATCAATGCACCAGCAAACAAGGTTGATATTTGGCTTTAGCAAAATAAAAAAATTGGAAAAAACGTCTCCATTCCTCATTACTTTTCCAGCCTCGATAGGGTGATAAACTAATTACTTTTTTATAGGGCCTAATATTGAATAAAATAAATTAGGCAATTTAAATTTATTTTTAAAATGATTGTCATGCATTTACAAACATATTAATTCTGAATGCTTTCTTCATTAAGGCAATTAATTATTATAATTAATTATAGCATGTCAAATGCATAAACATTAAGACAATAGTTAGTGGATACAAACACTAGTACTACTGCATCTATATTTACAGTCTGTGCATCATGTACTACACATAAGCTGCAGAAAAGGTTTAATTGAAACTGTCCCGGAAAAAGGCGCAATATTGTTCATTTATGACCTGTTTCTACTAGGAAGAAAAAACGATCAAAAATCGCTTTTTCAAATAATTGCTTTTTTTCTCATAGTAGTAGCAGTGAAAATACTAAAATGGTCACAAAGCCAGTCTAGACCTACTGAGAATGTTTCGGTTCCTTTAAGTGTAGTAAATCTAAAACGTATTCATGACGTCTTTCCAAATCGTGTACAAGATAGTTGAACAAAATATGTTTCAAAAATATTTATAGTGCACCGTACTATGGTACGAAGCTTACACAAATGTACACCTAAATGAAGCAAATAGCCTTGAATTAATTCTAACGGTTCAATGACTTTCTGGAAAAGAGTTGGAAAACAATCCTTCAGCCCTCAGATCAGGTATGAATTCATGATGTAGATTGTAGTTGATGACATGTCAATGAAACTAGTCGTGAAATTTTAAGAGTATTGACGCAAGAACAATCATCGGCATATATCCCTTGTAGTGTAGATCTAAAACGTATTGATGAAGTATATTCACACAATGTTATTAATATCGCGTACAAAATAGTTAAAATACATTAAAATATCAAACAATTACATGCTTGCCGATATTACAATTGCTTTGGAAATATATTTTCAAAAGTAATTTTATAATAGCACCGTGGTATGGACTATATTCAGTAAATACCCTATTTTCTTTTTCTATTGTAAATACCTGAATGAAGAAAATAACTTTTAAGTAATTCAAAGGATACGAAGCGGTTCATGGCTTCTTTTGAAAAAAACAAAATGATCTTGTAGTGAAGCAATTCATGATGATGCATGTCAAAATATTTACTAATACATGACAATACAGAGAAACCTGAACATTATCTTCAGGTTTCCTTTCTTTCCTAATTTTGAACTGTGATCTATCCTTGGTTCCGCTGTTTATCATGTTTCTTGTTCTTGACTTTTATTGTAATCGAATGAACTTTTCTCCAGAATGTACAGGCTTTTTATCCGTTTAAATTTTTTTCTTGTTTCTGCATCTTTGGAACCAAATAAATTCAAATCAAATCAAACTGTTGTTTTAGGATGGTGATAAGAGCCGTGACGTACATAGTTTGGTTGTAACTAGTGTTCAGGCTAGGAATGATAGCTCAAAAGGAGGAAAAGGCTTGTGGCATAGTTCCAAGGCAGTTAGTTAGTTTCAAATTTAAGAGATGAGTTTGGACATTTGGATGGTCAAATATTTATGGACAATCCTCCTAAGGATAGGGTTTACAAGACTAGGAGTGAAAAAAAGAAAGGTCAGGACAGAGGACAAGAAAGAAGAAGCCAAGTCTAGGCAGGATTGAGTGTTAAAAATTTAGGACATAGGTGTCCCCTTAGATAATGGTGGTTAGTACAGACAGGGAAAGAGGATTCAGATACAGTAGTCTGTAAAGATAGAGTATTATTTAGGCAGGTTTCCCTGGACGCCAGATTGAACCAATAGAGCAGTTAGTGGTTCCAAAACCATGTTGTAACAGTGTGAGAAGCATCAAAGCTACAAAGATAGCTAATAAGTCAAGGGTCAAACTTTACCTCCAAATTGTTGAGTCAGATTTTTCAATTACTGTCGATCAAAGGTCTGACTACTTCTCCGTACCATCTACCAACAGATGGATTGGTTGAGAGCTTTAATGGTACTTTAAAGTCCATGATTAGGAAGTTTGTTGAGGAAGATCCCCGAGAATGGGACAAGATGCTACTGTATCTGTTGTTTGCTTATAGGGAAGTTTGATTTGTTGTATGGTTCGAAGGCGCGGGGTCCACTTGTAATGTAAGAAAGGTTGACGGGCAGTGTCAGGCTCTCAGAGCGTGGTGTCACACATCGTTAGGATGAGCGATAGATTAGCCTCAATGAAAGATTTAGTACAGGAAAACATAGAGCATGCTCAGAAAAAGCAGAAACAAACATAGACGAATTTGCTCACAAGTCAGGTTGTAGAAAGTTTAGTCCAGGTGATTTGTTGCTCTTACCATCTAGTAACAATGCATTAGAAGCAAAGTGGCAGGGTCCGTACAAGATTTCGAGAAAGATGGGTCCAGTAAAACTATGAGATAGAAACTAATGACAAAAGAAAAAAGTCAAATGTCTATCATGTAAACCTCCTCAAAAATTCAATCGTAGACCTATGGAGGCTATTATTGATAGCTATAACTAATTAAGTGGACAGGAAGGTGGTCAGTATAGCAATGTACTTGGTCAAAATGTCCTTGTTCTAAATTGGATTTAGATTATGGTGAAAGGTTGGAGGAATATGAACCAGTATTAAAGGATAGGCCTGGGAAAACTACCGTGATAAAGCATGATATTGGAATGGAACAAGAAGTGCATCCAGTTAGGCAAAGGGCTTATCTAATTCCACAGGCTGACAAAGTAAAGGAAGAGGTATAATCTATGGTATAAATTGGAGCAATAGAAGAGTCCAACAGTGTTGGTCTTCTCCTTATGGTACCAAAACCGATGGTACAGCTCGCTTTTGTGTAAATTACAAAACAGTTAATACAGTAGTTTGAGCAAGTTTGATGCATATCTAATGCCAGGAGTAGAAGAGATAATAGGCAGAGTTGGTCCAGCCAAGTACATAACCAAATTAGATTTGTGCAAAGGTTACTGGCAAGTTCCCTTAATAACAGAAAGCAATACACAGCTTTTTCAACACCAATGGGTTTGTACCAGTTTAAGTACTTAAATTTGGCTTGCATGGGGCTCCTGCAACAGTGCAAAGAATGGTGGATCGTCTGTTGCTAAGGAAAGAAGGGTATGTAGCAGCCTATATGATCTTGTAATCTTTAGAAACCCTAACGCCTGCCGTCGCAAACGCCTAGTCAATGGTAAACTGCTGACATGCTTAACCATCGCAAAAGCCTAATAAATAACTTCAACAGACATGGTTAACTGGTGACATGCTTAACCCTAGAGCCTATCGGTGCAAACATCTGACGTGCCTAACCCTAACACCTATAAAGTAGGTGCAAACGCCTGACATGCTTAACCCCAACGCCTATCGTTGCAAACACCTATTCAATGGTAAACTGCTGATGTGCTTAACCATCGCAAAAGCCTAATAAATAACTTCAACAGACATGGTTAACTGGTGACATGCTTAACCCTAGAGCCTATCGGTGCAAACATCTGACGTGCCTAACCCTAACACCTATAAAGTAGGTGCAAACGCCTGACATGCTTAACCCCAACACCTATCGTTGCAAACGCCTATTCAATGGTAAACTGCTGACGTGCTTAACCTTAACACCTATCAGAGCAAATGCCCAACGTGCTTAACCTGAACCCCTATTGTTGTGCAAATGCCTGACGAGCTTAACCCTAACACCTAATCATCACAAACGCCTATTCAATGGCATTGGTAATCTGCTGACGTACTAAACCCTAACAGAACACCTGCTGTCGCAAATGCCTATTCAATGGTGAACTGCTGACATGCTTAACGCCTATTGTCGCAAAAGCCTGACATGCTGAACCCTAACATTTTTTGTAGCAAACGCCTATTCAATGGTAATCAGCTGACGTACTAAATCTTAACGCCTGTGTCGTTAACACCTAACGGTAAACTGCTGACATGCTTAACCCTACGCCTATTGGCGCAAATGCCTGACATGCTTAACCCTTACGCCTATCGTTGCAAACACATATTCATTGAAAAACTGCTGACGTACTCCCTAACGCTTATCGTTGCAAACGCCTATTCAGATGTAAACTTCTGACGTGCTCCAACCCTAACCCAAAAAATAACTTCCACAGACATGGTAAACTGTCGACATGCTTCAACCTACTCATTGGTAAACTGCTGTTAATTAAGCTTATTTATTTTAGTATTACATTAAAACAAATATGTGCGGTACAGTAAGGGGTTATTTCTTCAGACTCGGGATAGGGCTATTTTCTTTGCAGTCTAGCGGTAGAAGACCCAATGCACTAGGCAAAGGCAGAAACTACTGCTACATCAAACTAGCCAGTGAGTTGTCTGCGTACATTCACTTGCGAAAGTAGCCCTGTCGCGAACTCAGTTGATGATTCCCCCTCTCAATGCCACACACCATATTTTGCTTTTGCTATACTTGAGTTCGGTTGGTGACTTTCACCAGTTAGACAGCAGTGTGTGTTTGGTGGCCAATGTCTTTCAAAGGAAGATGGCTAACATTAATAATACTAAAAGCCTATCTGCGTAAACTCCTAATGTGTTTAACCCTAATGTCCTATCGTCGCAAAGCCCAATTCAACTGCTAACAGGCTTAACCCTAGCACCTATCATTGCAAATGTCTATTCAATGATAAACTGCTGACGTGCTTAACCCTAATGCCTATTGCAAATGCCTATTCATTGGTAAACTGCTGGTGCTTAACCCTAACACCTATTGTCGCAAACGCCTATTCAATGGTAAACTGCTGATGTGTATTACTATCCACACAGCATATTATTATTATAATATTACTATTATTACTATTCAGTACCTATTGTACAGGTGCAAACACCCATGAATCATTAGTATGACCATTTCAACTTGATTATTCTTACTGTATTATTAATATTACTATAACTACCTCACATAGCAATTCAAAGTGACTGAAAATGCTGCATAGCAAAAATAGCAGCTACAGCACTGTCTCGAAGACTGTATAGCCAAAACAACATTTGATGAAGCATTGTGGCAGCTACTAACAATAACATGCTTGTATCGCTATTTAGTGCTTAACCCAGTGATTGCTACATTTTGTGAAATGGGTGCTATATGACTTTTTTTATAAGCTATGGCTAATGACCAGCTACTACCAGTACCTTGCCTTTTAATGCTTAACCAGGCCCGGCGTAGCTAAGAGGTTCCTGAGGGTTTCTATGAACCCCCCATTAACAAGCAAACTCCCCACCCTACCCCATTTTTATCTTACTTCTATTCTTGGGTTGTCATGAAGCATAAATGCTTTAATATGGCCCACTCTACTTCAGGTCACAATACTCCTACGGGGTGGCGTAAATTTTGCTGGGTACTGTACCTATCCAGTCCGTGGGCTAGGTCTAAATTTAATGTATTTCATGGTATATGCATCGTTCACGGTTGAATATGACCCAGAATCTCCTCGAAAATCACCAGCAAAGATCGTATTTCAGAAAGTGTGCTTGGAAATAGGTGTGCTTGGAAGAATGTGTGCTTCGAAAAATATATCAGACCGAAAATGCACGTACTAGCTACAGCAAAACCAAAGATTATTGCTATATATTATGATGGGTGCTATATTATTAATATAATATATTAATGCTAGGACCAATCCTGTGCTTTAGTAAAGAGCCCGGGCCAGACCAAAAAATGATAATCTGCTGGCCAGGCTAGGCTAAGGCCAAAGCTAGGCCTACTAGGCTATAGGCCTAGGCTTAGAGAGGGTCTAGGGCCTAGGCCAGGCCCAGCAGCAGCAGTAGGCATGGATGAGCTTCAGTGATAATTGAGTCAAAGGTAACTGATAATGGAAATATAATTAAACAAGCAACGATAAATTTACAAATACATCAAATATTTATAGTTCAACATAGCATATCAAGTATAATTAAAACATCAATTTAATCTGTTCACGCCCTACCTTCCGCCATCTTGGATTCAGGAGTACAGCCAATCACTAGACCAAATAAACAACATGGCTTTCAAAAACAGGAACAAAATAATAGTATAGTGTATACCGAGCCGAGATAACACTCCGGGGACTTCAAATTTTGAATGAGTGGTTTCGATCGGGCTAGTAGTCTTTAGAATTTAGAGTGTACAGCATACCTGCCAACCCTACCGATTTAGGCGGTAGGCTACCGATTTTCTCACTTTTCTACCGCCTACCGAATTACCAGGCTGTTCCTACCTATTTTTAAAAATGGAAAATCAACATTACAACGATTGAATAATATCTGGGGCTGTCTCTTATACACATCTAGATGTGTATAAGAGACAGCTCTAATATAGTAAAATTCATCATAATCACATCTTGTTTCAAAATGACTCAGCGCCAACAAATCATGAACTTTTATGACCGATTTTCGGTAACCAGATCTAATATATGTGATGTACCATAGTAAAGTAACTTTGAAACATTATCTTTGATGTATTTACTTTACCACTTTAAACCATGGTTCCAAATCCACCTCAGTCCCACCATGTTTGGGGCTGAGGTGCGAAAATTTGAGAAAACAACCTCAGATGGTCGCAATGACACTCTATATAGGCCTATTAAAGTAAAATTCATCATCATCATCACATCACCATTAGTCAAAATGAAGCGCCAACAAATTTCTTATGATCTTTTATCTAGGATTTTGGCAGTCATAGAGATCTAATTAATCTGTGTGATGTAGGGCCTACCATAGAAAATAAAACTTTAAAACATTGTCTTTTTTTATGTACTTACTTAATACTGTCCGTAAGTCCACACACACACCCATCTCAGTCCAACATGGTTGGGGCTGAGGCGCGAAAATTTGGGTTAAATTGTACCTCTAGAAGTGAGGCCAGAAATGACACTCATATAGAAAAAAAATTCATTATCATCGCATCACCATTATAGTCAAAATGAAGTGCCAACAAATTTATCATGATCTTTTATTAGGGATTTTCGGTAATCATAGAAATTTAAATAATCTCGTGAGAGCAAACTGGGCGTCGCTTAACATGTTTTCAAAGTGGTCCAGGGTTGGGGATGGGGATCCAAAGTTATGACAATTTAGGGGTTTCAACTTATTTAATCGATTTTGAGATGGATAAATCTACTAATATGTAGAAAATATACGGTATATAATTGTTTTTCTCCCAGACGAATTCTGTTTCTCTTTCTCCCCGACGGCCCTGACCTCCCCTTCACCCACTGGTTCCATCCCTGAGAGGGTAATCACAAGCAGTGTAAAATGGAGACAATCATGGCTAAAAGTACTATGTGTCCATAATTATTTATTTAGGCCTAAGTGTAGTATAAAATACACAAGCTCTAAACGAATACGAATAAAAAACATAAGGCAAGTGGTCTCAAAAAGTGAATTGTTTGAGTCCAAGAAGAAGAACTGAATATACACCTCTGTCCGAAATTTAATTGACCTAAACTATTGAAATTATAGGTAATATAGGATCAGAGGAGACTCTACGATTTTCTCCAATGGGTGAGGGGAAAAGGGTGGGATTGCTGTCCGAAATTTTTGGACAGGGTTGTTGAAAATGTAGTTACCATCGCCAAAGAACGCCAAAGAGTCATTAAAGCGAACATTAGACAATTTAAAATCTAACAATTAATGAATGTTAAATAATTTTGTTAGGAGACATTGCGCAAAAAAAGGTCATTGGCCTACATCTAGATCGTTGACATGACTTTATTCAAACCTCTTTGTAACTGACTTTTTCAATACGCATTTAAATTTGTATATAATATAGAATTTCTCCATTTTGTGATATCTGATACAGCGAATGAGTCTCTCGAGTTGTCAGATCGGATAACACCAATGTTCCCTTAATTTCATGTCTTATTCTATATTCTTTGGTTTTGGCGGATTGTTATAACCGACCTTGGACTTTAAAAGTAAGCGATAGCATAACAGAAGAGAGGGTAAATACAGTGAGAGGGATTTCCTTTCGTTCTACAATAGCATAGGATAAGCCTCTCTTGTCTCAATGTGCTTAACTGCAATGATCATGCTAAACTAATACGTTAGGTAAAAACTACGACTTCTTCCTTAGGAAGCTTCGGCATTTAAAATTTAATTTAGAGTTTAATTTGGCCCGCTAAAATGCACAATATAGTCAAAAATATATTTGAAAGAGATTCAACGTTATAATCATTTTCAACGAAGTAAAGATGAAAATGCAACCGTTGGGTCATGTGCAACTTTTCGGGAAAACAAACATAGAGATATTATCAAAGAGCAGGCTACAAAGCCATAAATAACATAGGCCCTGGTTCTTAATAGGTGGCCAGCATGGTACAATTTAATTTGGCCCGCCAGACTACACAAAATAGTCAAAAAATATTTGAAACAGATTCAACGTTATAATCATTCGAGTGAGTCATGTGCAACTTTACGGCAAAACAGCATGGCGATAATATCGATAAAGAGCAGGCTTTAATAAGCCATAAATAACATAATAGGCCTATGCCTACACACCGACTTTATGTATGCAAACCTTTGCCTCTGTTCTGTTAACTGTTTAGTGTTTGCACTTAATTTTACATAGGTCTATTTGATAAAAACTTGGTGTACCAAGAACAGTGCTCATAAAAATGACATCACGTACGCGGAAAATAGTTACTAAACGTAAATGATAGCCGAGAATATCTAAAATGTTATTTTCGGGCGTCTAGAACACAAAAGTTTAGCGGAGGCATGCCCCGACTCCCTAGAATAGTGTTGTCTCGATCGGCCCAACTTTCGCCAACCCCCCCCCCACCCCACTATTTTAACTTTAATGTTGATCTATCGTTCTGACTTCTCGACTTTTGACTTTGTATGTGTGGCGTTGCACTTGACTTTAGCATTTTCAATTCAATTCAGGAGATTGCGGTACTTTATCTCAATTCTCTGGATTTAAATGAGTGGTGTAGCGGATGTTCCAGTCGCAGGGGAGCACAAGATATAATGAACATAGGGCATTTACGACAAATTCAGAGATCTTTAAACGACACTATTGTGAAACCTCCTTGGCTTTTTGTAGAATAAATTTTCACATAAATTGTCGCATTGAAAATTTCGAGTAGGTCTACATTACTTCGTTGTATTGTCCTTTCATTTAATGTTTACGTGTGTGTGGGCGTGGGTGTAAGTGGGGGAGGGGAAGCGTGTATTAATGTACCGTAATTCTAATCAAAACTCACGCACATATCATGGCTACCCTCAACACCGTTTTCTCCATAGCTAATGAATTTGTTGTAATTAGATAATGAATAATATTGATGACAAATCCTTATCAATCTCCGTGATATTAACTCTAAAAAATATCTGAAATAAATAAAAGCTGTTGCTGTCTCGACTCATTGACTGATCACATTCGGCCACAATATGTGAGTGACAATGAAGTAATAATGCTCTTCCATTTTGTAATGATCGTTTTCTGTAATTAATCTGAGATGGTAAGATATCTATTTAGACTGCGTTTGCGAGCTGACGACTGCGCTCCTGATTCAATCATCAAGGTGATGGTCCAATCATGTAAATTGGCTGTCGGTAGATCAGTCAGGACAGACGCCAGGGGGTTCACGCGCATATACATCTTACTCCTCCATATTATGACGAGGAGATGAAATTGGGAATTGTGTGAAAACACTGACTTGCTTGTGCACAAGTATATAATAGATTGTCAATATAACAGAGAAAGCTTGACATTTTAATAATGAAAATGTGGTGCATTAGTGTTTAGTGATCATGGATCGTCCCGTTATATCATGTTTGGCCAGTAACCATGGGTTATTTAAGGGGATATTCTAAGAGAGCCAGATGCAAGGGGAGGGGGAGGGGTGCATAAGCGCCCTGTTGGGATTCAGGAAAAGAGCTCTTTTTGGGCCAGGAATTCGGCATGTAATTATAAATTTCACCATCATTTAATACAAGGTTGGAGTGTTTTTGTTTAGTGGGGTGTAGGCGTCACTAGGAGAGCGAAAGGAGATTCAGCCAAACCGTAAATTCAGACGCGTAGGCAGGATTTTCGATGGAGGTGTATTTTGCGAACGAAATGACTTTCGGCTAGGGTTGGTCGGAACCGGGGGAGGGGGGCGGAAACTCAGACGAATTAGCATTTTGAGCTCCTTATAAATGGATTTCTATTCTATTTAAATTTGTACTCATTTTTCTGTTGTTAGAGCCCTAAAGTTTTAACTTTTATATCCCTTTACATCTGTAGGCCTACTGGTAACACTTAATTGTTCATAATGGATCCATCTACAATCACTGGAGCTGATAATTTCCAACAAATGTCGCACCACAGTTATTAAAAATCAACGGCTTGAAGAGCAGAAAAATAATATGCAATGTATACTGTAACAAGTTTTTACGGAATTAAGACGTTATAAAAAAAATTTACTTTTGAAATTTGGGGTTTGTAGGCGAAGCCCCCGGATGCTCCGACAAAGTTGCATTTTGAAAGCCTTATATACTTAGGACTTCTGAAACCCATAATTTGTGAATATTCTATTTAAATTTTCATTCATTTGGGTGTTGCGGGGACCTGAAGAAAAAACGTTTTTGTCCTTTACATATCTGTAGGCCTACAGATAACATTGTCCATAATGGATCAATCTGCAATCGCTGTAGCTGATAATTTCCAACAAATTTCGTACCACAGTTATTAAAAATCAACGGCTAGAAGAGCTGGCAAAAGTACATTTCACGATAATTAGGAACGATTTTAGTGAAATAATAGGTTATAAAAAGTGGAATTTGATGGTCCACTCCAGGAGCAGGAACCTGGAGAGGGGGTTTGGGGGAAGTAGAATCTGCATGACCTTATATTATAATTAATTATAATTAATTCCTTAAACCCATGCGTGAATATTCTATCTAAATTTTCATTAATTTGTGTTTTTGGGAACCTGAAAAAGTACCGTTACACCGTTTTATGTCCTTTACATTCATAGGCCTATAAATAATATTGTTCATAGGCCTATATGGATCAGTTTGTAATCATTCCAACAAATCATTCCAGCAAATTTCATACCAAAGTTATTAAAAATTAACAGTTAGAAGAGCTGGCAAATATAAAATGAA